TTTTGACTTCGAAATGTGCTTCGCGCCACAACGGTGTGCACTTTTTCGACATCTCAACTTCCAAAAGTGGTCCGAACCTGGTGTGTTTTGTACATTTTGACTTCGAAATGTGCTTCGCGCCACAAGGGCGTGCACTTTTTCGACATCTCAACTGACAAAAATGGTCCGAACCTGGTGTGTTTTGTACCTTTTGACTTCGAAATGTGCTTCACGCCACAACGGCGTGCACTTTTTCGACATCTCAACTGACAAAAGTGGTCCGGAGCTGGTGTATTTTGTACATTTTGACTTCGAAATGTGCTTCGCGCCACAACGGTGTGCACTTTTTCGACATCTCAACTGCCAAAAGTGGTCCGGAGCTGGTGTGTTTTGTACATTTTGACTTCGAAATGTGCTTCGCGCCACAACGGCGTGCAACTTTTCATCTCTCATCTGGCCAGCTGGCTCCGCACCCGCCGCTTTAGCGAGCCTACTTTTCGACCCTCCGGAGCCACAAATCATTGGAAAAACACAGTGTTTCGCGACTTTCCTACCTTTTCGCGCATATGTAGCGTCTGTCCTCTTACTCTTTCGCTTCTGATCTTCTCTCTTCTAATCTTCCTCTTCTCTGTGCCTCTGCCCTGCTCTGCTTTTCATCTCTCCATATTGTCGGAAGTTTGACTTCTAAACTTCCTTCGATTACTATATTTTAACCATATATATATACATGATTGTGTATATATATATATACATGAATATGTATGTATATGTATATATATATATACATGAATTACTGTATATATATATATACATACATATACATACATATTCATACATATACCTGCATCCATATACATATATACATGTTGATACATGCTGACCATCTAGCTGTATACTTTACAAGATCGGCTTCAACCACCACTGAGGTGCGCGATCCCAAAGCAGCGCCATGATTATCGGCCGCTCCTGCTACGTGAAGCTGCTGAGTGGCTGGAGTATCGACCAGGCCCCTTTGGCATTTGGGGAATCCACGGGGTCATAGGGTGGTGATAGAAGCAATGGGAAAACAACTAATGTCAACCCCGGATTAATAAACCATGGTTTATTAATTAGGGGGGTACTCCTCCAATAGTCATAATCTAATACTTAAATGGTACCTTCCCAATTAAACAGCCTAGGGGTTTATTAATCCAGGGTTGACATTAACAGTAATCTTAGTACAGGATGGATATGTCGATGATTCTTTAATATTGTTTAGGCCTTTGTACATTGTGAAACTGAAGCAAACTGTGTGCAGCATATCAACTTAAAAACTGGGTTTAAACTATGACTATCATGACGATTGTAGACTTGTCTATTTGGATTAGAACTGAAGCAGGATTAGTGGTCCAGAACAATTCAATTGCAGCACAGAATTTTGGATTATACAGCCCCTTCATCCAATGACGTTCCCTTTCCAATTATGTTATGTCTCGTGTAATTCTACCACAATGAATCAATAGATATCCACACATTTCCACAATAAACCTCCATGAATGAATTATCTCTACTGGTTTGAGGTCTTAGATGTATTTCCAAGCCCCAACATTTTCAACGAACGGAGTGGCTGTGCCCATCACCTTGCGCAAACCAGGCCTTGACCTTCCGGGATATGACCTTTCAACAGCATCTCTGCCATGTTTCGCCATGTTTACTTTGCAGCTGGTTGATGATGAATTATAGGGGCTTACACTTGTTTCTATGATTTTTGGGATTTAGCATAATCTGTGAAGCAATTCCCTATGACTCAACAAGGAGGAGAGAAATTTGAACAAAAATCAAAACACTGGGCACGTTTTTGTGAAACGGATCTGGAGCAAACATGGGACTGGACTTGACCAAAGATGGGGACGTTTTCCTCCAAGTTCCACCTTGGGGTCCCAACCGTTCGAGTGGGTACTGACAGAACCATGCAGCCGATCAAAACGGGCCATTCATGAATTTACATCATGAAGTATTGTTTGAAGCATCTAACATCACAAATTCAAGGTGGTCTTAAACCATAATGCGGTAAAATCGCCACCATGTCTGAGATAATGTTAGTAAAACAATAGTAAACAAACCCCAAATTCACCATAAATGGATGGTTCGAACCATCAACATATTATATAGTGGTTTATTATTGCTTTACTAACATTATATAGAGGACATCCTGAAGCACTGAAATGACAAAATGTGCGGTTTTTGGTATCCACCAGCACACAAAAAAGTGTGGCCAGGATCAGAGAAAATCCCGAAGCTGGTGATACCGATGACGAGGAGGTTAGCCCAGGGTTTGTCCACCATCGTTTGCGGGTCCCAGGGTCCCAGGGTTTGGATTTAGAGCCACATAGTCCAATGATGTCCAATGACTTTTATCATCAAGCAGCATTTCCTGAGATATTTCGAGATATTTTCTGTGACCCCAAGTAGGGTTGGATACCTTTCACATCAGCTCTGTCAGCCATTGTCCGAAGGACTCGATCGAGAGCTTGGGAGCCCAGTTGGAAGACAGGAAGGGGCTTGCCGCTAGCCAGCCGCAAAGGGTTTCAATTGCTTCTTTCGATCCCTAGAATAGGGAGATTCCAGAGTTTGCACCTCCCTGGCTTGTACCATGTTAGCAGGCCAATTGCCACACAAATCCACAAAAATCCCAGTTTCGCAGTCGCAACCGCAGCTGCAGATTATCAAGTCACCAACACCTAGGAAGGAGGGCAGCCTGCGGCCTGTGCATTTTGTGTGGCCCGCAACTCCCAGTATGAGCAGCTGTGCCTATGCCCATGGCCTGTTGGAAGAGGAAGAGAAGCCTCTCATGAACAAATGCCTTGGCAAGTGGTACTTGTCGGTGTTAATGTTCGCAACCATGGTGCTGGCAGTGGTGTTTTGTTTGATCGCGGCCATTCAGACGCAGTCGAAACTGCCTTCCAGGGTGGACGAGCAGCACTTCACCTTCATTCAGGAGCTTCATAATCTAAGCCTCGTTTGGCAGGTGCGACAGCCCACAAGGGAAGGTGCAGGAGTTGTCTCGGAGGTTCTTATTGAAGATGATGGTGACTTCTCGGAGCTCATGACTTCGGAAACCGTGCCCTTCGAGGATATCGAGACAGGGGTCTTGACAATGGCAAATTACGTCGCGCACTATAACACCATCGCAATTGGTCCATCGCAAAAAACATTTTGGGCACCACTGCTGAATGAAAACACGGTGCACCACATATTCCGAGAAAAGCACGAGGCCCTGCACAACATCCAGCCCACAGATCTCAACATCGTCGAAGCAGTTTCAATACTCTATACCATTGCAGCCTCAGGCACAGAGATCGAATCAAACAAGCATGTGGCATACTCCTTCAACTTGATGACCTTTGTAGTAGTCACAACTAGTCCAGTTGATGGAGCCCTTTCAAATGCATGAGCTATTCAGGGTCCAAGAGATCAGGGCATCCTTATAGACCGTGCTGTAGGAATTGTTTGTGCAAAAACATTTGTTGAGGAGATCGGCCTTGGCTATACCTGTGTGCCGCAAACGTACGAAATTAAGCAACAATTCAGCAGCTGAATGTTTGCATTTGATAGGTTAGTTTTTGAGATTTTTTATGCGTCGGATGCACAGCGTCATGATGTCTCGACCTCTCAGCATGGTCAAAAGCAGGGGCATACAGGACACTGGGTGATCAGTCGGTAGATTTTTTGACGTTTATACTATTTATACTGCATAAATCTTCATACATCGTTGTGTTTTCTGGCGTCTTACTAGTTCCAGTTGGCCTGTCTTTGTCAAGTGGCTTGAAACCACCAAAAGAGAAACACCTTTCACACATTTTCAAACATACTATCATTTCTAGGCATGGAAGCGTCATGTCCCAGAGTTTTAAGAGCCTCAGATCTAGAAATAAAGAAACAAGTCTAGGTATGCTGGGGGAAACAACATCTGGACCCACCTCAAAGCTGGATATTTAAAAAGGAATCACGGCAGGAAGAACTCCCGGCAGCTTGGTTGTTATAGGCTAACTAGATTTATAATCTCTAGATGGGCTTCTAAACCAACTTATTATAACTTCTTTGGGGGGCCCTTCTTGGGCCATCAATCCACCCTTTCGGCTTGGCCGCCATCACGACATCTTTTGAGTCGCCATGAGGCGATGAGAAGCCGACACCTCAACGTCCATCCAAAAAGGCCAAGGAACTGAGCTGTTTTTTTTTCCCACGGCTGAAAACATGGGGATATTAAGAGCTGATTCCGCCAAAAGTATTTTGGAGACATGGTTCCATCTGATGTGAAGAAGGTGTTTCAAAATTCTTTTCTTGATTATCGGGGATAGATAATCCCTTCATTGGTTCCATTTGGTTCCCCCTTTTCTTCATGGTTGATCTTATGGTTTGTTCTTTACTTCAAGAGAGAGGGATGGGATCACTCTCCGGCGCTATGACACCGATCTCACGTGCCAATACTGGTGCAGAACTGGGGTGATTCTTACGGCTATACTTGCATGTGCTTTCCACCTAGTAAGTGGTTGATAATCCCCATATAACCCATATAATCCCTTATATAATATAATATCAGTAGGGATATTCCATATATAACTGGGGATATAACCCACTTACTAAGTGGGATGCACCCCCAAGTAACCGATTATAACGTTACAACCATGGGCTTAAACCCCTCTTGAAATAATTCAATGTGACTTATTCACTTGGCCGGGAGCAATCACCATCTCCAAGATTCTGTGCAAATGGGGATCTTCCATTTTCTAGAAGTCTGATTGGCAGTTGTTTGATCTCCAGTACTGTAGAATCCAAATTATTGTTTGTAGAATGCACATTTGTTGCGGTGAAATCATTTTCCTTGGTTGACTCATGGGAAATCGACCTTGTTCAACCGGTAAAGCTCTGGCATTTCGCGGCGCCTTGTTGTCCTGCACCGGAGGCCCGGCTGGCTTCCAGCAATAGCGCCTGTGCAAAAGTTGGGGATCGGATTTTGATGGGGAGACAACTTGGGATATTCAATTTGTTTTTTTCGCAAAATTCCGTCAATATCATCACTCATCCCGTCCCCCGTTCATATTAAACACCCCTAGAAACCATCGCCGAGTAGGGAATCTCCACATCATTGGGACCCTTTGGATTAGTGATTGGGGGATTATATGGGGGAAAGTCTGAACAAAATGGGGGATTTGATGGGGATATAGTGATTTATCCATCAAACATGGTGATCTAGCCAACGAGCATGGGGAGTTAAGCATCAAACAATGGGACTTGCTGGGATTGAACAATCTGAAGTGGGGATATATGGGAAGATACTCGGGATATGGCTTATATTTTATACCAGCATGGCAATTGAATGTATAAAACGGGAATATCATGTGCATACAGCAAGCATCAACATGGGAAAATAGCCGGATATCATGGAGATATCAACTGTCATAATATTAATAAACTGGTGATTATGGTGAAACTGATGACAGCAATGGAGGATTCCCAATCAACCAGTTGGGAATGCGGATGTAGTGAACAGAAGCATCAATGGGATTCATGTGGGGTCAACAACCAGCAAGAATGGGGAGATATATATATAATATATTAATATATATATATAATATATATATAATATATATATATAATATATATATATATATAATATATATATATAATATATATATAATATATATAATATATATATAATATATATATAATATATATATATATATATAATATATATATAATATATATATAAAATAATATATATATAAGAGGGATAAGTGGTATAACCAACAACTGGCCGAAACCAACAAAATTATATGGAAAACATGGGGATTTTTATGAACTGGCTGGTGATTGGTGATTCTTGATCAAAGTGGTGATTTGCCATATGTTCATGCACAAAGTGATAATAAAATACTGGAAATTTAGGGCATCCCATTTTCAGATAAACAATTGTGGCAGTCAGAATCAAATTTCCTGAGGACCAAATCTAGGTAGTAGATCAAACCTGTTCTGTTTACTTTCAAGATGTTCATCAGGACGTTTTTCCCTGACACGCAGATTTCTCAGCTAGCGATCTTTGATGTCCAAAGGGTAAATCCATCAGTATCCCATTATCATCCCATTATTATATATCCCTACCAAACCACACAAACCCATATTAAACTACCATCCCGCCATGCAAAAACTGTGCCAATCCAGCCGTATCGAGGTAGTCTGTCCAGCAGCAGCGATACAGAAGAGGAATCCTCCCGTGAGGTGAGATTTCATGGAGAGAAGTAGCAAAAATGGGTCATAGCAACCTTCCAGGATGGTATTGATTATGTTTTCCCTGATATTTTCTAGGTGTTTTGGATTGTTTTGGGAGATAGTGGCAACTAGCTAGCTATTCTATCCTTTTGAAGAGCACCGTACTCGCCGTACTCAAATGTCCTTTTTTGGGGGGCTGTGGTTGGGGTGCCTGGCTGTCCAGAATGGACTATAGCAACTGTACCAGATGAATGTGGAGGATATTTCATCGACGATAAGTTTATTGATTCCCTCCAGTTCTGCGAACTTCAAGTCAATACCTATATTATATACATATACACATCATTATAAATGTATATAGAATGTCATCATATATCTATATACATACATATATATATATGTATATATATATATATACACAATGAGATACCATGATACATATTGTCCTGGCATCGTACCTTCAATGTCGTCCTTTCAGAAAGCAATCTTCATACGTAAAAACGCGGCCCATGCCTGAGATCTAGGCTAAGACTGCCCCAAAGGCGGAGCCTGCAGGCGCACTGGATGGTGAACGAAAACAGTTGCTATACGATACTACGCAATACTATGCAGCGATTTGGACTGTAGGATTCAGGGTTTAGGGTTTCAGGGCTTCGGGTTTCAGGGTTTTAGATGGTTTTAGGGTTTATTGTTTTGAAAAGTCAACAAAAACGCTAGCCCTCTGATGCCCTATGCAGGGATTTGAGCATGTCAAAGGATATGCGGGATCGGTGATGAGCAAACCTAATGGTTGCAGCGAAGATGATTCAACCAACCGTAGTGATCGATCTGATAGTGTGGGTTTGTCTTCATGGGGGATCGAGCCGGCAGGAACGGAGGTCTAAAACCAAACATGGAGGGAAATGATGGGAAATGATGGGAATTGATGGATATGAAAGGGGTAAAACCAAGGGGTAAAACCAATAGTAGTCAATAGCATGCGGGTATCGTTCTTGCAGAGAAGATCCACATTCCTGACCGCAGGTGGCCATGGGTTTTTGCAGAAGGGAACTCCTAATCTTCGTGTTGGAAGGCAGGGAGTTGGGCCAGATCCAGAACTCTTGGGAAGGGATGTGTTTTGTTTTTTTTTGATTTCACCAGCAAAAACTGGGGTTTTGGAAGGTTTTGGGGATTTAGTCCGCCCCCCCCCCCAGAGCCCCAGAGTTCGTGGTGGTTAGAACTCAGCAGAATTTTCACCATTTCATGAATTGCATTGGATCATCTCTGAGGAGCTGCCGCAAGGGGATCTGGGATGCCAGCAGAGATACGGCTGGCGATATGATCCAAAATCCAAAATCATATCACACACATTGGGGTGCAATCTGCAATGTTGGCTCCGGCTACAATATGGAAACACTGCTCCAAGCTTCGAAGAAAACATATGACCTTTCAAAATTGTGGTGGGGTATCAAAGTCTCTTCAGAGTCTAAATCATACCTATCGTACCTGCAACAGCCACAGATTGTCACCGGCCAGTTATATATATATATATATCCATCTTTTACTGTTGGTGAGTTGGGCGGTTCATCCCCTGTATCCGCTTGAACCATGAACCATAATCCTGTTGAATGGCTGCTTTTGGGGTATACTACCTGGTTTAATGGGGATTATCATAACACATAACAGGGATATAGCTATTAAGTATAAAGCAACCAATATCATGTTAAACTTATTATTGATGTTCGTAATTCTTTATTGATATTATCATGAACCGATATCCTGATTAATATTCCGTAATTTCATGGCTCAGCGTCATGCTTGATGGCAATCCAGGGTGCATATGGTGAAATTAATGGAGTAGGATACTCTGGAACATACAGGGATATCCTCCAGTAATCTGACACTTTGCTATGGAAACACACCATTTGTTACTAGGTAAATCAGTCAAAAGGGGCCAGTCCTATGAAGGTCCCTACAACATAGCCATACATGTCATGACTTCCAGCTGGTGGTTGATACAGTACCTGTCAACGACAGTACATGTCTTCGCTGCCTTTTCCCAGACTCGAGTCCAACATACCCTTTTTGCGTGACTGTTTACTTCGATTTGCTGTGCATGGATTTGCAGTTCTCAACATGAGAACATCGGCGAGAGAAAAGGGAAAGGCGGCCGACCAACGACATGTTTTCCTTGGAAGTACTGATGTTTGTAGGGCCGTTTCCTACCGAGCAGATCCCAACTTGGTAGCGGAGCCCATGGAAGCTCTGCGGCGATGCTGCCAAGTTGGGGTCTGTTTGGTCTGCAGAAGTTTGCTTGGTGCAGTGATCATTCTAGGTGGTATGCTTGCATTGCTGGAGTATGCGTTTACTGACCTCGATGCATTGAGTGTGCCAACTGACGCGGACAACGTCCCGTTGCAATGGTTGACTTCGAGCACCACCAGCCCGCAGATCGAACAGACTCTGACTTGGAGCAATGTGAATGAGCCCAATGTGCAAACAACAACAGGTTTTAGAATGTCTTTGACGGTTGATGTGACAGTGGATTCAGACGGCAGTATGGCTTTTTCAGTTGTGAATGAAACTGATTTTTCTGAAAGATTTCACGATGTCAGCCGGGTTCGAGACGAAACGACAGATGATTTTCACCGGACACGGATGAGAGCAGTTGGTTTGGCAAACAGTGCATTGCTTACGGCAGGTGTCGATTTTGGTGACAACAACAGCAGGCAATTACAACAGCTTGACGACATGGTTCCCAAGAAGCAGAATGTTGTTAACTGGTTGCATAAGCTTGCTGATAGTAGTTTTCATCCAATGGGTCGACATTCAAAGATGCATGTTTTTGCAACGATGATGACATGTGTTTCTTCAGTGATGTGCATGTTGCTGCCTTGCATGATGCAAGGCCCTTTCAGGCCACCTCATCCATCCCAACATGGAATGCGGACGAACGTACACCAAAGTGATGCTGGTCCTCCTTTCGTGGGGACGGCGACACTAAAAGTGCCGCCATCATGGTGCATAGAAAGAAATCATGTGTACTCTTTGCGGTCTTGGATTTCTGATTTGATACTATGGGCATCAGCTTCAGACTTAGATCCAATTCGTCATGGTCCTGTGGCAGCTCTTCAAGTACAAGGCACTGCAAAAGAGCTTGTGAGGGAACTAACTCCACAACAATTGCAGCAGGGTGACATTGATCCTCAAACTGGGCAACACTATACGGGGTTAATGTTACTTGTCAATGTGCTTGCAAGACGATATGCTCCACTTGAAGCTGAAAACACCACGAAGTCAATCAGTGAGTTCCTTTCCTTCAAGAGGCTCGCAGGTGAAACAATTGACTCAGTTTTGGTCCGATTCGATATCTTGCGTAACCGTGCTCAAGCTCGAGCAGGCTTTGCAGTGAACTGGACGGGCCTTTCATGGCTGTTGTTACAATCCCTGGGATTGAATGCCGAGATGTGGGATAGACTGCTGGCCCCGACCGGGGGATTGATGCCGCAAAATGAGATGCAGGTTGGAGAGCTGATGGAACGTGTTCGAAGGTTGTTTCATTTGCGTGAAGGTAGAATGCAGGCCACAGGTCAACAAGGTGCAATGGGTGACCCTGGTAACTTTTATGCAGATGGATATTTTCCAACCTTTGAGATAAATGCAGAACCAGCCAATGCTTTCATGACTGGAGACCCAAATCCACCTGATCCGTGGAGGAATGCAAGTTCTCCACAACATGCGTATGTAGGATCACCCACCAATCATGCAGGTGCTGGACCATGGGATGCTTGGAATCAGAACCAAAGTTTTCATGCCAATGCCAATAGCAATGTCCCATGTCCAACATGCGGAATGTACTATCAAGATGATGGTTTCAGCACGGACACCAGTTCCGATGATGGTGGTTCAATGCCTGCAGATTCCAACATGGATCCCAGTGAAGCCTATCAGGAATATGCCTTCGCCAGAAAGAAATGGCGTCGTATTTCCAGCAAGTTTCCCAGAAGGTACCGAAAGTTTGGTAAAGGTGGAAAAGGTGGTAAGCCAGCATATGCCTCTTTCCTACCACCACAGGCTTTTGCAGGGGGTAAGGGTGGTCCCAATCCAAAGGGTGGTTTCCGAAAGAAGAACCCCAAGGATAAATCTGGTCAAGTGATGCGTTGCAATGTTTGCCAATCAGATGAACACCTGTGGCGCAAATGCCCAAAGCGCCCACAGCAAGATGGTTCATATGCCACTGGTAGTGGATCCAATCCTGCAACACATGCACATGCCACCATGAATGCACCTCAGCCACAACAACAGCTTGCTTTGATGCCAACGAACCAATCCTTAATGTGGGGTAATGCAACCAATGCCTCGCTTCCAGGTGTGCACTTCTTTGGCGCCGAGATGGAGCAGCTTCGCAGCATTTCTGATGCAGGCAGTGTGGTCTCGGCATCCAGCCGAAAGAGATCATCCGATCATGCTGAAGCGTCCACACCAGATCAGCCCAGTAAAGCTATGCCGAAGTTTAGCCCTGGATTTTTCCCAAAAGCATCCGTTGCAGCATCCGAGCATTCGCCTGCAGCCGCATCCGGCCATGCATCCGATGTTGCATCTGTCCATGAAGCATCCGGTAGTTTTGCAAGCCCTGAAGTTGAAAAGTTGATTGAAGTTGCCAGTGAACCACAATCACCACCACCAGCACGACCGCCGAAAATGACTTCAATTCGTCTTGGAGTTTCAGGTTCAACTGCAGCCGATGATGCCCACATGCCAAAGACATCTCAAGATGTGCCGATTGATGATCCGTCTCCTGTTTCAGGTTTTGCCGGACGACCTGTCCGAATGAGCCGTGAGGAACAGCAAGAAGTCAGACAGCAGTCTGTTCAAGGTTTGCACCAATTGATGATGGGTTTTGAACAAGTTGCAGGCAGACATGATGCAGTTCCGAATGCCGCTGTTTCTGGAGTTCCCCGTCAGGTGCTGAGCCTTGAATCTCAGTTGACTGGAGTAGCACAGCCAGGGAATCAAATGATGATGATGCAATATCAGCCACTTGCGTTTGGTGTTCCTGGCATGAACATCGGTCCTGCACTTCCGAAGATGGGATTTACTCCACCGAATGTTTTTGGCAGTTCATGCATGGGTTCCGGAAGAAGTGGATCAGGCACCCAAGGGCAACAACATGGCCCTCCAAGCGGCGGATCGTATCCCTGGTGGGAAACTGACACAAACAAAGAGGATGAAAAGATGAAGTCCACAACAGAAGGCACCTACCACCTCAGAACGCGCCTGCGTTCAGGTGCCGTTGGATTGCTGGTTGATCCTGGAGCGCATGACAATTTGATCGGTGAGTTGACAGCTCAGCAGATGTGCCAAGAGTTGAACACTGAGCTGGAGCACAGAACCCTTGACAAGCCTCTGCCAGTCGAGGGAGTTGGCAAGTCAGCCCAAGTTGCCAACAAGTCAGCCTGTGTTAGCATGTCAGTTCGCAGTGCACTTGGCCAGGTCAATGACGCCACCTACACGGCGCCGATCATACCTGACAGCATGCTGCCTCCACTTTTGGGCAACAAAACACTGAGAAAGATGCAGGTGATTTTGGACTGTGGATCAGGAAAGATGATCATACCAGGCCCAGGTGGAATCGAGGTGAAGATGAGTCCAGGAAGCCATGTCTATGAGCTGGAGCTTTCCAACAGTGGCCACTGGATTTTGCCTTTGCATGCCCAAAGCCAAGATGCCATGCAGACCGATCAGAACCTTGCGTTCAACATGTCATGCCGCCAGAACCGTGCCAAGTCTCCCCCAAAGCGTTCAAAGAGCGCGGACGGGACCCAATCCAACTGAGGTTTGCTGAAAGCCGGTAGCGTGAATGTTGAAACTGGTTCACCTGCCGATGCGAAACATCACAGTTTCGAAACCAATGTATGCAATCCAGAAGGATCTGAACCAATGATGAAGTCAAAGTCATCTCAACTTTGTACTGAAGGTTTGGCTTGGGTCTTTTCGGATAAGGCAGGACTACGTCAACGTCTTCTCCAAGAGTACGGCCTTAAGACCATGCATTTTCACCATGATTTGCATAGTAGATCTCAATGCCAGGACATCCTGTCCCAACTTGAGCATCAGGGGCCATTATTGCTTTGGATGAGATTTGCGGGTCCATGTGCCGGGTCCGGAAACAAACATGATGCCCTTCGAGCCGAGCATTTGTTTCGTCTTGTTCGACAGCAATGCCAAAAGGGTCTTCCAGTTGTCATTGAAGCCAGCGAAAGGAGTCAGGTTTGGAACTTGCAAGTTGTAAAGCAGTGTGCCCCATTGTTGCATGCTACGCTTCATCAATGGTGTAACTATGAGCAGCTGAGACATGGACATGACCTTCCTTGTTGTTCGAAGCTGAAACTGCTTACCAACTTTCCAGTGCCCAATGGCGATATTTGTACATGCGGTGATGTTCAACATGTTCATGCAAAAGAACTAGGTTCTCAGAATGCAATCAGGTTTGAGGTGCTACGACAGCTGATGCATGTAGTGTGCAAACAAAAGATTTCCAATCTGAAAATGCCTTGCGTGCAGATGCCAGCCAATGAGCAACCTGAGTCTTTACCAAGTGATTTGAACCTGTCTTCAGAAGGCCTAGTGAAGAGTGTACGTTTTTCCAGCATGTACCAATGCGAAGATCCCAACTTGATGTCAAGCAAACGAACAACCTCAACCAGTGCTGAACAACATCAACAACATAAGACTTTCTCAAGTACGACAAAACCTGATTCCTTGCGACAGTTGGATTCACGAGAAGACTTTTGGCTTTTCAGTGGAAGCAACACTGTGATACGTGTTCATGTTGAACCGAGAAATCAGCTGTATGTGCCGCAGTCAAATGGTTGTCCTGTTTCCCTTACTGAGTTGGAGAAATGCCGACAGACCAGAATGCAATCTCAAGGTCTTTCCATGTCGCAGCCTTTGGTCATAGATGATGAATGGCAAGGTTCCACCCCAAATGCAATGCCTTTCCATTGGGTTGGAACAACCACTTTTAAGTTGAAGCCTTCATGCAATGGTTTGAAACAACTTCCACAGCAAAGCATGTTTCCGACCGAAGAAGCCATCCGGCAAAAGCAGAAGAAAGCTAGTGGTCATGTTGCCAAGCCAAGACCAAAGAAAGTGGAACAACACTGTGATGACTGCGGTGATAACCTCGACTGCCTTGATGTTTTTGCAAAGCCACCAATGACCGATGGTGAGACAGAAGCCTTTTCTTGCGAACAGCAGCTGATGGATCACGTTTGCCAAATGTTTTTCAATCGCCGAATCCAATTTTTTGGATGCGATGCAGATGAGCCTCAAATGTTTTGGACAGACGGTAGCCGTATGCCTTCAATAGCCGAAGTTTTTCATGCCAGAGCCAACATAGATGACGTTGGAATAGACTGCATGGAGATGTTTGGAGGACAAGGCACCACCACCTATATCTTGTCCAAGTTCCATGGTCTTCAAACTGGAATCAACTTCGAAATGCTGTGCGGTGTTGATCTCAGCAAACAAGCAGATGTCCAATACCTTTTTGCCTACATACGTAGAAATAAGCCTAAGGTAATCTTGCTTGCACCACCATGCCGTGGATACTCTAAGTGGGGCCATCTTAATCGTAAGATAAACCATGAAGCTTGGGTTGAAAGCCGGCAGCTGAGCGTTCCACTTGCCAGGCTCAGCAGTGATGTGGCCATCGAGCAATACAACAATGGAAGACACTTCTTTGTCGAGCAGCCTCAAGGCAGTGGTTTGTATGAAGAGCCCCCATGGCTCAAACTCAAAGATTACATGTTTTCCATAGTGTTTGACCAGTGCATGACTGGCCTGTGCATGTTGAAGCCACCATACCTTCCAGTTCGAAAGCCAACCGAATGCAAAGCTTCACATCCGGCGTTGCTGATGTTTTTGCAGAACTTGCGTTGCGATGGTAGCCATGAACATGCACATATAGGTAGCTGGGGTAGTAGCAGCAGACACACTGTCAAAAGTGCCGACATGCAGGTTTGGCCCAGAGAACTTTGTGAAAGGATAGCAGCTGGAGTTGTTGAATGTTTGATGTCAATGCATGAGAAAAGCAATCTCCAAAACTACTTTCCAGAAGCTGCTGCCGAAGCATCAGCCGATGCTGCACCTATCACGTGCCCAGCTTGCAAAGGCCATATGCGCAAAACTGATCCGAGACACACCAGAGATGCAAACTGCAAGTTTCCAGACACCGAAAGTGTTACATGGACATGCCCTGGTTGTGTAGGTCGAAAGAATCGTGCACACCCTTCTCACAGAAATGATGAAACATGTCAATGGGCAGTTGCACGAATCATGCCTGAAGGAGCAGCCCGTGAAAGAACATCCACTCATCCTAGAGATGGCCGTGTTCCAGCCAGATCTGACCTTCCGCAAGCCTGCGTTTGGAAGGGAGAAATGATGGAGTTCTAGGTGCATCCGAAGCACCACCTGATGCTCCTGAGGCCTTGACTCCTGAAGAGGCCGAAGCTAGGAGAAGAGCCAAGAGTCAAAGATCAGATGCAGCTGGAACAAGACGTTCAAGCATAGGTGTTCAAGCAGAGGCCCCAAGACCTCTTACAGATGCTGCTGATGCTGCAGTACGTGACGATGCCATTGTCCCAGTAGCACCTGATGCTGACGATGTTGCAGTTCCAGCCTGGTCCAAATATGATCTTGGTTTTGCACTTCAACAACTGCGATCTTTGAGAGAAGGTGTTGTCAGAAGAACGTTGAGGAAGCTTCATATAAGATGGTTCCATTGTAGTGCCAAAAGAATGTGTACTTTGTTGTCAGCCGCAGGTGTCCACAATGATGTTTTGATGTTGGTGCCCTCAATCATCGACACATGCGATATATGTCGCAACTGGCAACGTGTTGGACCCAGAACTGTGACCTCAACAAGAGTTCCAGACACTTTCAACCTTGAAGTTCAAATAGACTTGCTGTTTTATAAAACCAATGTTGTCCTTCACTGCGTAGATGCTTGCACCCGTTGGACTGCAGTTGAAATCCTTCGGAACAGAGAGCCAGAGAGCATCCTTGATGGTTTTGCCAAATGTTGGATTCGCATTTTTGGATGCCCTGCCACCATACTTTGTGACCAAGAGGGAGGTGTTGTTTCCGACCTTGCTGCAGAATGGTTTGAAAGAAGAGGGATCAAAGTTGTTTTCCGAGCGAAAGAGCAACACTGTGGTCTTGTGGAAAGACACAACCAGATCCTTAGAGCCCAGCTGCACCTGTTGGATGACCAGTCCAATGTCGAAGGACTTGCTGTACCGTTTAGTGTCGTTTTGTCTGAGTCAGTCTTTGCCAAGAATGCCCTTTTCCGATGTGGTAATGCCTCGCCTTACGAGGCGGTGTTTGGACGTGTTCCTCCATTGCTTTCAGTTGTTGGTGAAGAGACTGTTGAAGCCTTGACAGACAGAGACGCAGCCCGCGTCAGACACTTGGCGCTTGGAAGCATGATCCAAGCAACTGCAGACCAGAAGGCAAGAACAGCAGATAACACGAAGACCAGAAGAGCAGGACAACTTTTAGAACTTCAAACTGGCGATCTTGTGGATTTCTTCAGAAAGCCAATAAGTAAGGATTCCACTGGTTGGCATGGTCCAGCGCAAATAGTTGACTTGTCAAGCCTGCGAGATGGTATAGTCCATATCAAATGGCAAGGCCGAGTTCTGTCAGCTAGAGTGCAAGATATCCGTTCTGCCCTTACTTTTGCAACTTTCTTGATGCAGCCGTCCAATCCCATTCGTTTGTTCCGTGCGGAAGTTGAAGCTCATCAAGGACATTTGATGCGTGTTGGATGGGTTAAGCAAGGCAGAACATGGATTGAATGCCAAGGTAACAAAGAAAACTTTGCACTTTTGTCTGCAGGACTTTATGTGTCAGCCTGCTGCATGCACCTGGAAGGAGTGGTAGGATTCCGATACGGAACAAATGTGTCTCAACTCCCTGCCGTAGCTTTTGATGACACTTTGCTTCTTTGGTGGAATAGCCAGAACGGTGGTTTGACTGAATGGTTCCATTGTTTTACTCCTGGCAATCGACTGCTCCATGTGCAAACCATCACTAAGATGCCTGAAGCCTCAGTAGTCCAGTTTCTGATGGTCGATCAGTTTGAAGTGCAATCTCTACGACAAGTGGTTCCCGATGTGCCGCATCTTGGAGGAACCCATGAACCTGACTTCACCAACATGCATGACAAAACAGAAGAAGTGCTCAGGACTAGCGGTCAGAAAGCACTTGCAGATGGTCAGCCTGATCATCAACCAAAGCCATCACCTTCAGAAAATGCCAATGTTGAAACGGATCACTTGGATGAACGTGAAGTCCAGACTTCAAATCCAGAACCTGAAAATGTCCATCATGTGGAAGATGCAAGACCGTACGATTTTGCTTTCATGAGTGTTGTTTCAGATGAAGCCTTCCATGGAACAGCTTATGATTCAGATCGCTTGCATGCCATCCAAGATGTTAATGTAGTTTCAACCTTAATAGTCCACCCCGATAATCTGTATGAAGCTCCCGAACTTGCCTTTCCAGCTCACTTGATGCAATATGTTGTTCTTGCAGGTATGCATGGTAACCGTAGGTTTAGAAGAGACCAACATGCGGTGTTTGCCTTTGCCAGTTTCGCAGCAACCACAGCTGTGATTGAGCGTGTGAACAACATTCTTGACAGACAAGAAGCCTTGAATCATGTTGAAGAATGCCGAGAGGCCATGATGCTTGAGCTGTTGCGTTGGGTGAAACATAAAGCTTGGAAACGTGGCAACAAAAGACAGGCCACCAATGTCCTCAAATCCAAATGGGTGTTGAAGTGGAAAGATATTGGTTCTGGCGATTCCAAAGCCAGGAAAATAAAGGCCAGACTTGTTGCACAAGGTTTTCTTGATAGGCAAGAGACTGCCACGTTTGCTGGAACTTCGACCCGCTGGTCGCAACGTCTCCTCATAGCTGTTGCAGTTCAACAAGGATGGGAACTTTGGAGTGCAGATATCTCAGAGGCTTTCTTGCGTGGGTTGACGTTTGAAGAGCTACATGAAAGTGGTGGACAAATGAGAGATGTTCAGATTTCCTTGCCTCCTGGAGGGGAGTTTCTTCTTCGTGCAATAGAAGGGTATGAAGATTACGATGCTTCAACTGAAATTCTTGTGTTAGTTAAACCCGGATTTGGACTCCGTGACGCACCGCGTCTTTGGTTGCTTGCACTTAAGAAAGTGTTGACTCGCATCGGAGTCACTGCATGCCAGGGCGATCAACAGCTCTTCCAAATGAGAGAGAATGGCAGACTCTCCCTGCTGATGACAATCCATGTTGATGACATAAAGATGTGCGGAAACCCTCAAACCATGTCATGGGTAGTTAAGCAGCTTGAGGAGCAATTTGACTCCATTAAATTGGAGAAGAATAATTTCGTCCATTTGGGCCTGCAGCACACCCTGTGCAAGGATGGAAGCATGGAGATTTCCCAATCTCATTACATCTCTGAGCTGAAACCCATACCAACCGAAAGCCTGAAAGTGATACCAAAAGACCAACCTGTCAATGAAGAGTTCCAACACCTGTTCCGTTCTTTGCTTGGAGGAATTGCTTGGGTAACTCAGACGCGACTTGACATAGCCGTATATGTAGGCGCACTACAAGAAAACTGCAATGTCCAACAGTGCAAGACCTGCTCAATGCCAACCGCGTACTGCAGTACTTGAAAAGCAAGCCTCTGGCAATGAAGTTTAGAAAGCTGGATAAACCATGGCGCCTCGTGGCGATCTCAGACTCTGGTTTTAAGGGAGAAGATCAGGATCATTTGGCAATTCGAAGTGGTCTGATTTGTTTGGTGGACCGTGATTTTCCCCAACTTCGCAGAAATGGCTTGCAGATAATTGAGTATGTTTCTAAGAAACAAACAAGAGTTTGCAGGTCAACCTATGCTGCCGAGCTCTATAGTGCCTTAGACCTTGCTGGACTTTTGTTTAACATTTCCTTGACGCTGACGGAGGTGTTAGAAGGTCCAAGTACAGCTTGTGCACTTGCCGATAAATTTGAAGCTGGTAAACTTGCGTTGGAAGCAGACTTGGTGATCGATGCTGCGTCCGTGTTTGATCATACTGCAACAACTGAACCAAGAGCACCACATGATGCGACGATGACGATCCACTCCTTGAAACTGCGAGAGTTGCTTGAGACTGGTAAGTTGACGCGTTTAATCTGGTGTGATACAAGGTCAATGCTTGCAGACGGCCTGAACAAGGGTACAATCGACAGAGCAGCCTTACAACTGGCAATCAGTGATGCGTGCTGGAATATAGATCAAACTGTCAGAACACACCAAGTTCCAATGCAGATGCCAGAACAAAGTTCGCGCAATGAGCAACCTGAGTCAAAAGGGGCCAGTCCTATGAAGGTCCCTACAACATAGCCATACATGTCATGACTTCCAGCTGGTGGTTGATACAGTACCTGTCAACGACAGTACATGTCTTCGCTGCCTTTTCCCAGACTCGAGTCCAACATACCCTTTTTGCGTGACTGTTTACTTCGATTTGCTGCGCATGGATTTGCAGTTCTCAACATGAGAACATCGGCGAGAGAAAAGGGAAAGGCGGCCGACCAACGACATGTTTTCCTTGGAAGTACTGATGTTTGTAGGGCCGTTTCCTACCGAGCAGATCCCAACTAAATCATCTACAAAGAGACAAAATTTTCCGCAGCTAGCAGCTTTGTTAGATTATCAGAAGGTACACATACATAAATAGAGAATGTGGGGAGCGACGGGGGTCAAAACGCAGGAACATTTATGGAGGAAAATGGGGGTGCGTGTTGCAAGAAACGGATCAAACTGGGTTATGAGTTATGACTATTTTGACTAGGGTTGTTGGCCACTTACCCATTCTTGGTCATATCAACATTTTTGGTGCTCAACGCTTTTTTAACCGAAGGTTCAGTCCCTACGCCTGAGAAAATGGGTACGGCATGTCTCAAAGATCCGGTCCCATTGGAGGACCAGAAAATTGGGACCTTTAAAGCTACTCATAGCATTTTCAGTAGTTGGCTACCCCAAAATTTCACCAGCAAAGTTTAACTATGCCAGTTTTTTTTTTTTCAGGACCCCCCAACAAATTTGGTAAAAACCAACCAGTTGTCTGTAGATTTTCTCTCAACCCAATCCACAGATTATCATATTTGGTGAGAGCCATCCCACTCAACTGAGAGGTCAAATCACCATGAAGTCATCATCAAGCCACAATTCAATATATATATATATATATATATAAATCCCCATGAAATCCCATTAAATCCTCATTCAATACAGAATTTCACCGCTGGGTATGAAGGCTAACTCATTCTTGGATTGTTGAGCCATGCCAAAAAAGAATCCGAAGACTCCAAACAGTGACGCAGGGCGAGCGCCAAGATGTCCGTCGGGAGCCTTGATCCTTGAGTATCCAGTACCACTGGGACCAGCCATTTGGAGTGTGACCTAGGCCAGAACGGGAGTGCGCTGCTTTCGCTGCTTCCAAGAGCGAAATTCGTGTCGTTGCAAGGATCGCAAAGCCTAGTGAGCCTAGTGCCAAAAAGTCAGTTCTGACAGTGAGTTCTGCGCAATACTGTATTTACTGCTTGGTGGTTTCATTCTTCAAAATCCGTCCCCCCCCGGTGATGATCCCAGTTAGTTTGAAACAACTAACAAGGCTTTTGTAGGGTATGGCAAGCTTTTACCTTTGTGGCAGTTGGACAAAGGAAGGTTGTTTCAAACATGCAGCAACCTCACAGATGTCTGTGAATGGTGGGTTTTCCGCAACCGTGGAACTGACTGGCCACCAGAAGCCGCAGTTGGTCCACACCAGGGCCATGCGTTGATGTGAACATTTCAGCATGTTGAAGAAAATCGCGCAGGGCTGGAGTTCTCTTCAGGGGATGATCATAAGACAAAAGCCACAACAGGAATATATACCTATTAATCAACGGATATACAGATGTTAATCAACCAGGATACTGTTGTCATGGTAAGAATCATACAAATGATACAGTAGCAAAAGTATGTAATAGTACTATTTTACTATATATATCTATAATAATATACATATATATATATAATAATATATATATATAATAGTATACACATATATAATAATATATATATATATACAATAATATACATATATAATAATATATATATATATATATAATAATATACATATATATATAATAATAATATACATATATATTAATGTACATACATACATACATACATACGTACGTACGTACGTACGTACATACATACATACATGTATACATGTATACATGTATACATGTATTCATATCGGTACAGGAATTAATGTGTTTTTATTTTTTTTTCACACCATTTCATCACTATAATCATCCGAATTCTTTTGAGATCTGAGATGATGGCTTCACAACGTGATGTGCACCTGGTGAGAGATTAACATTGCCCCTTTTCTCTACGGTTCCCAATCCACGTCCTTGACTTTTCATCCATTTGTGGACAAGCGCGAGCTCATCTGGTGCTCAAAAACCATCTTGACCACCAAGTAGACTGCCAAATCAGAAGGTTTCATGGCAGACCCTCACCATACATGATGGTCACTGATGGGCGGGGTCCCGGGGAAGGCGAACAATCAGAAATGCTGTGAAAATTGTGTTTGGAATTAATTTGTTCTGAATTACAGAGACTCGTATTCCATTTTTGAGCCATGCCCATTTCTTGGAAACCTCCAGAGGTGGTTTTTGACATGGGTTTATAGTTTATTCTTATTTCCTTTCTCCATGTCCACATCGTTTGTTTTCCCATCGTGTCCCAACCAATTTTTGTAGCTTAAGTTATCTTACCACCATTTAAATCCCAGCTTTTTCTTTGAACTCCCCTAAACATTTTTGTAGTTTTCCCCCCATTTTCCCCGCCGGACACACGTTTTTACATCTTGGCCTTGGCACAGGGTGGGCATCAGCGGTAGCCCCTATCAGCTCTTCCATCAGATGAGGCCAGCTGGGATGTTTTGGGAAAATGTGGGATTGACTCCACAGTTGTAGCCATCGATGGGGAGAATGATGATTCGCCGATGGATGAACTGGGGTAGCCTATGACCAAAATCTGCGCCAACGGAGTATTCTGTTTGCCAGAACTGAACGGCCGCCACCTTTTTTTTGGGGGGTAGGGCCTTCACTCAGCGAAGAAAGATCTGGGCTTGACGACCCCGGCGAACTTCCACACCGAGATTTGATGGAATTTCGTTGATTTCCACAATTAATGGGGTGGTAAACAACTCTAAGGAAAGCCATCTACCAGTTCACCACTGGGCGAGCCTTAGGGGAGTCATGGCTTTGACGCATCCCCAGTGTTCAATGGTCCATTCAGCTGCGCCGAAATCCACCAGAGCCAGAGCTTTCCTGCCCCAAAGAGCCAACAATATTTGTCCAAAAGCCAAAAGACAACATCCGAAACATATCCCAAAAATGTCACCTGGACCCATTTTCCCAAAAATATATCCAAAGACAAGTCCAAGACGCAGAAAGCCTCCAAGAAAAATATCAGTTTTTTTCATTCTCAACATGATATTCACCAAACAATCACAACTTTTGCAAGGTTGCTCCACCCCATTCATTCAGGCGTAGCCACAAGGGGATCTCTTTATAGAGCAATTTTTACCCCGAAACGTATCTGGGGTGGCCGGGGCACACCCTAATTTTCAAGTTGATTTAGTATCATCCCATTAGCTGCAGATCGGTTATGAGCCCCACTGACTATAGAGACATCATGACATATCTACCCTCAAATCCAACAGTGACATGCTAAACATAATACATCAACTTAAACTAACTCTAGACTAACTCTAGACTAACTATATAGTCTATAGTTATTTTTTTCCTTTTTATCAATACCTATTAATACCATTTTTAGGGGGATGAACATCCATTTACCAGCTATTTTCATGTTCACCAGGGGTACAAGGTTTTGACACACTGCCATTTATTCATTCACCATACACCCACATGAATCACTAGCCGCCTGCCTCCAGGGATCGGCGCGTCGCCTCTGAGCCGCCAGCGGCGTTAGCGGCCGTTCCAGCCGCTGAGGTGCAAAAACCAAGGGGGATGGCAGGGACAGTCGTCCTATGGGTGAATCCTATGGGATGATTAGGGTCAATGGATTGGTTTTGTTGGGAAAATCTTAACCGGAAACCATCGATTTTTTCCCATGAAATATGGGGTTTTCCTGCACATTTTCCCTTAAACCAATCCATTGATAGGGGATCTAGTGCATTTTTTGTTTTTTTTTAAAGCTGTATACTGTTTTTTGTCCATCCAGAGGGACTAAAAACACCTTGGAGAGATGGTCATCCATCGATTTTCGAATGGTGGTGGAATGGCCACAAGCATCCACAAGCCATATACCATGACCATGGCACATTTGAGGATTGGTTGAAACCTATGGGCCCAATATATAGGATGAACCTCGGTTTGCCAGCTATTTTGGGGTAAACGACAAGGGTACCTGGGATTTTGACCCATAGCCGTCACTTATTCCAATACCATTCATATGATTAATTCATGGACAATTATGGTACTACATAACCTAATTTTTATCCTTTACGTTTATCCATTTGGGTATACACATTGATATCAATGAGATAATGGACATGTACCTCACTATTTTATGATACAAGAAATGGGAAGATACCATCGATTAGACAATATATATCCCACAATCAATGACAATTTTACAGAACACTCGTTTGAGTAGTTCCAAAATCAGCTGGATAGGAACCTGTTTTGACTATTTTTATCATTCTTTATCCTCCGGCAATCAAACGTAGCAACGGAAAACCTTCCATTTAAAGATGTTGTTCCCAAATTCAATGCATATTTTTTTGGGATTTCCAAAATTCTCATTGCCATGTTTGATTCCGGGAAGAAAAACGGGGTTTGTCCGCCACAGGGCACTTCTTGCTCGAGCAAGTTGGGGCCGCCAAAGGGTCGGTTGTGGCTGGTGGGTTGAGTTCCTGAGTGCTTGGTCCTTTGATGTCGTTTTCATTGCAAAAGACGCATGCCCGCAAATGAGATGGATGATCCCAATAAAATGACCAGTAATCATCAAAAGTTTGTTCAAACATGGCCGGCTGGAAAATCTACCATTGAGTTCGATGATTTTTCAATTAACACTTCCATTTAGAGGGGTTTTCCAAGCTTGCAATGTCTGGTGACTGCTGAGGGTAAATCAATCAATATCAATATCCCAGGATTATCCTTGTTAAACCATATACTGTAAGAACATGTAATTAAAGTACCATTACCCTCTGGTAATTTTACATAACTACGAAAAGTTACCGTTTCCAACAGGTAAATCATCACTGGGCCATATAATATTCATATAATATTCATATTAAACCTACAAGACAAGCTCCAAAACCTCCAAGCTTTGGATCAATTTTCCGCCGTCACAGCGATGCCTCGTTCAGGTGCCGGAGGAGAGAAAACCCCGTGGGCCTCTACAATTTGGGCAATACGTGACTGAGCTGCAGCCTGGGTGAGCTATAGCTGATGAATCATAGCTGTTGGTAAAGCAATAGGATCCACTGATCCCCAATGACAGCATTTAGATTATGGCTGCTATACATCATCAACTTTTTTGGGTGGTTTATGACATTGCTTTACTAACATTAGATGATTATATATAGATTGTTTACCTATGAAAGAAGGGTGATTTCCCATAGCGTGGCGGCTGTAATGCCATGGTCTACCCCAAGGATTTCCCTATGGAAATGGCCAGTTCTAGTATCGGTATACCGTATATTTTCAGACACACCTCTTCTATCAGAAAGAGCTATTGTACCAAGTAGATCGATTGATACTAGTTGGTACATGTTGATACTAGTGGATATTGATACATCTTTGATAAAGATCATTATATAAACAACATTAATCAATATTAATCAACTACTATAAACATCTATAAACATCAATATTGATACTAGCGGATATTGGAACTATGAAACATCCATCTTTGTGTTTTCTTCGTTCCAGTTGTGAAAGTTCCGCCAGTTCCACCCACCCCAGGTGCTTTTTAAATGCGGCCCTGCAGTCGCTGGCGCATGCCCCGTTGCTCTCGGACTTCTTTCTGAAGCGGCCGGGGATCCAAGCCGCGGTTCGGCGAGTTTCATGTGAAGCTCCTGGGAAAAAATGGCAAGATACGGTAGATGTGGTTCATGTTCAGGTTGATCATGTTTTTCATCATGTTGAAAGATGGGGAAATAATGGAACATACCCTCTGGTTATTTAACATAGCCATGGTATAGATGGCCTATAGAAATAGATGGTTTACCTATTAAAAATGGTGATTTTAACCATGGCTATGAGAGGAATCGTTCATCATCTTGGTCCATGGCTGCAGCTTCCTGTTGCCTCCCAGGCATTTCGTGAAGGATCTCAACGTGGAAAATCCCTTGGGAACCAAAGGGGTCGGGGTCCCTGGCATGCCAGGGGGGTCCAAGGGCGTAGCGGGAACAAATCCGTGGAAATCCATGTTTTGTTTGTTTTTTGCGGGGAAAACATCTGAGATCTCATATGTTTATTTCCATTGGGTTGGATTAAGGGAGGGTACTTATACTTAAAAAACATAGCCGGACTGGCATGTTTATTTGGAATCTGATGTGTGAATCTAATAGGAAGAGACAGTTTGCAAGCGAACTTTCTGTGCATTGCCACTCAATCTATCACTCCATTACGTAGCTAAGTGCTTGCTGAGATGCAAAACAGAACCGATTGTGTTTTGGTTTCACAGGCTGTATAGTCTTAGGTACAGTAGTACAATATATTTTGCGGTTTTTTCACGGCCTTTTCACGGGGTTTTCACTTGTTTTTCATGGCCTTTTCATGTTTTTTTCATGGTGCCACTATTTTCGCAAATCTCGAAGGTGCGCCCTGAATTTTTCAAGCATGGGGATACATTTGGGGGTGGGACCTTACTCGGCTAAGTCTCACAAGAATACGACCTCAAGGAGAATCACATACAGGGAGAACCTCAGTCCTAAAGGCCTAGTTCAACCAGGCCTTTAGCAAAGGCCTAGTTTAGCGAGGACTTGGACCGACTAGGATATATTATATTAATATAATATATATTATATTAATATAATATATATTATATTATATAATATATATGTATATATATACATGTATATATATATGGGGTTTAAACCATCACCGACAATAACAGGACAATCATAGTTGTTGCCATTGAAGTATTTGTTAATAACATGGTAATCGTGGTTGTTTATGATATACCATAGCTATACTTATTTACATATTGCAGTTTTATTATGTTGTATGACATTGTCATTACACCCCCTATATTGAACATGGAACCCATAAACGATGGCCACATAAGCTGCCTTTCGCCGGGGCCGGGCTGCAAAGCTCAAGCCATCCAGAGCCCACCGAGCGCGTCGGCCTGGGCGAACCGCGGTGAATTTTTCCCGCGACGATGATGCTGGTGCCCTATCCCACTTTGCTGAAGCCTCACCAGGACCGGTCGCTGGGCCGCTGGGTGGAGTTGTGACTTTGTTTTTCAAGATTCTTAAAATAAAGACCTGTTTAAGACAGTTGTTGTTTAATCTTTTTCGTTTGTTTGTCAGATTTCTTGAAAACGTTGCTGAAAGTTCTTGGGTTTTGGAATGCTTTTTGAGGAAAGCACCTAGACAACAAGCTGGATGATTTGCGAGGATTAACGCATCAATCATTCTTCAACCATTGCTCGATTGGTGCAGAAATTTTACTGAGGTCGTATCACTGAGAATTTTGTGAAGATTTTGATGTCGAAAAAGGTTCCCTCAAGATGATTTCAATGTTTATACATCCCATATTCCGTTGTGGGTTTGCCTGAGAATAGGGACACCCCAAAATGCCATGGGTTTATCATCATTTTTCTCTTAAAGTGCCAATTTGAGGGGGGTACATCCCATTTTCATACGCACCAAAAGAATCATATTGCCGGTGATATATCCACACTATATCCATATGATATCCCTATTATATCTCCAAACAGTTTATCTCTTCCATGAGATTCCAGGAGAAACACGTCATCCATGGAGTCCGAGGTGTGTTACCCACCTGCAGGAGCCGATTTTTGAGGGGGTCTGGTCCGGTGGGTATTCCTTGGGAACATTGTGGAAATATGTTGCGGATGTTGTGGAATACGCAATTTCAAGACTTTTTGGGATTTTTTTGGGGAACATGTTGAAAATATGTGGAACTGGCCATATACAAGAAATTCCAAGACTAGCCCGAGTCTGGTGGTTGTCCTATCTGCAAGTGCCTTTCAACCCTTATTCGCATTATTCGCATTATTCGCATTATTCGCTTTATTCGCTTTATTCGCATTATTCGCATTATTCGCATTATTCGCATTATTCGCATTATTCGCATTATTCGCATTATCATCAGCATCATCAAAATCATCATCATCATCATCATCATCATCAAAATCATCATCATCATCATCATCATCATTGTTACTGCAACTATGATTACGTATCATATAATTTATGATTATCCTAACTGATCATTATCACATATTATTATTACAATAATAATTATTGTGATTACTATTATTATCATGATTCATGATTGCTTGCGGGGTGATTGTTTCCAACCATTTCCAACCACTTCACCATTTGTTTCTTACGCACCGCGTGAGAAGTCAGGATGGTGGCGATGGACAGTGCCCCAGCACATGTCACACACGTTGCCGGGACTGGAGCTCATGGAAACCATGGAGCACATGGAGCACATGGACAGCGCACCAAAGGCACCAGGGTTTTCACATGTTTTCACCAGACATGCCAGACATGGAGGATTTCCCCATATTTCAACCAGAAAAAATGGTGATTTCACCGACAAAAACATGGCATCATAGGGGCAAAAGTCCAGAAAACCGAGCCGAAAACCGAGTCTTATGGGGAGATGATGGAATATAGTGGGATGAAAAAAAAGTGGACCAACAGCATGTGGCTTTGTCCAAAATTGGGGGATACCCAATGATGATCATCATGCCAAGTGGTGATCCGTGATGAGCCAAGTACAGAAATCTCCACCATATCTCCAGTGATTTTCTGGTGAGATTTTCGGTGGCACGGCAAGTGACAACTCCCCAAAAACCCAGACATCGTCACTGTACCCTCTGGTTATGACTAACAGTTTGCTATTGAAAATGGCTATTGAAATAATGGATTTTCCCATTGAAAATGGTGATTTTCCATAGTTATGTTAGTTTACCAGAGGGTAGGACCCAAGTTGGAATGGGTCAAGATTAGAGGAACACCGGTTTTGGTCATTCCTTAGTAAGGCAAAAGTTCATTTTTTGAGGTACCCAAGACACATACCAATGGCCTGCAGTTGGTAGGTCATCGCGGCTCTCGTCGGATCCAGTTCCATGCGATGGTGTCTCGATGCCAACATGGCATGAATTTACTACCAGAAATCGGCTACTAAACTGCTACCCCCACAATGGATGATTGACTGCTAACTGGGATTTGCCGTGAAAGATGGAGATGGCAACATATTATAATATGGCAACGAACAACAATGAGGATTTTAGTATGGGCAACCAGGGGATCGCAGATTGATTGACATGTTTATGTTTACTATTGAGCCGTCCAAAATGCTGTATCCATGACCTGGGTATGGACGTGCAAGCCATAGTTGGTACATCGGATTCACATTTACGGAAGCAAGGAGAATAGGTAGTCAGCAATGATCTTCTGGGTAAAATCTCTGGTGGAAATGTCTCCCCATCTCTCTATGTTTTTATATCCATTAGATGTGTATGCTGTTCATATGTATGTATACGATAGATACGCATACATATTGATTAATATTGATATTGGAAGCGGATACACACACATGTGTATATATGTACATATACATATATATATACATACACACGTATGCATATACGTGTATATACAATTATATGTATATTATAACTTATATAAGTACATATAGATATGTAGTGCATTTGGTGGATATATACACGGTAGAGTCTAATGCGTATATACATATTATATATAATATATCGCATTTACCTACCTGTACGACGTAGCTATACATGTGCAAATTTATTTATGCATCTATATGTAGACACACATATCTATGGTACACACACATACATACATATATATATATATTATAAATGTATCTACTTGTATTTATCACATAACAACAAATTATTGAACCATGAATGATTCAAGACATCAATAGTCAAATTGACAATAAATCATCATACTATTTATATCATACACACACACACATCTATATGTATGCAATGCTGCATGTAGATGTACCTCAAAGCATCCATTTTTTGGGCACTGCCCCATTCTTTTGAGTTACCGCTCCTCTTTTATTTTAAGGCCCATCAGATTGAGAGACCCATCGCCACCGTGAAGAAGATGCCCAACTTGGGCCACATGCCTGTGACTTGGTTACCACTTGGACCACTTAGGATGGGTGTCTTTTTGGCGTGAGTTGACTCTGAATTCCATGTTTTTTTTTTGCAAAATGATGATAACAGGAGGATTTGACTGTTAAAAGTGCGGATGTTTCATTGATTTATGTAAATCTCAAACATAGGGCTTTGATCATCATACTTGGATAATCTATGTTTTGGCGGTTTTGGCGGAGAAACCCATCTGCATGTATGGTAGCAAATTTCAGCTGTGTTCACGTTGTCTCCCTGGGATTGGAACCGTCCGTTTTGACACCCACCTCCCCATGTTTCGAATCGTCTCACAGTTCCTACTAGTTCCGTTCAATTCACAGCACAGCATTTTGAGCATGTAAAAAATCATCAGATTATCAGATTATCTCATTTTTTACATGTAAAGTTATCAGATTATCACTTCTGAGATCTGCAAATAGTGCGTTTTGGGGTCCGAACATTCTCGGGGATTCTCATGGTATTCTCCGTCCAGGAGAGTTGGGCGACTTGGAGTTGGGATCCGACCCCCCCCTATAGCAACTATGGTGTCACCAAACATGGCTAGCTGTGAAATCCCAGACAGAACTAAATTATGGAGGTTCTTTGGTGGAAAATCATCGATCATTTGGGGATTTTCCATGATTTTCCCAGCCATGACCGGAAGGAACTGCCCCAAGTACCCGATACGGGCTGCGGTCAACCGTGGCCACCCTGAGATCGTTTTCCGATCTCAATCTCCTGCGGGCTCACCCAAGTACAGCATCCTTTGTGCCTTTGACCTGGAAGGGCTGGTGGGTGGCAGACATCAACGATATTTCTACTACCGAAAAACCTGGAACTACCGATCTGTTTTTATAACATCCATAGTTTTTCATTCTTGTAGTGTGATTTTTCAGTCGGTCCAGCCCGATTTTGGGCTACCAAAACTTGAATTGGCAGTGTTTCAGGATTTCCCAAGCAGCCATGGGCTGGTAGAAACATGGGAAGGTTGGCGCGGGACATGATACCCTGTATGGAGTTCTTCATTTGTGTACTGCAACGACAAGGCTTCCTAGTTTCAATGGCCACTTCAGCTACCTAAACTGGAGCTACTGTACCATATAAAACCATATTTTGGGGGGTATATCCTCGTAACCATGGCCCTAGACCTTGCATATATGGTAGGTAGGTCCAACAAATCGGTTCTTCTGGAGGTTACGGCGACAGCCTGACGGCTGGATTCTGTGACAAGGCCCCTGGCGAGACCAAAAACGATGGTTGAAGCTGATGGGTAGTCCAGATCCCTAGGAAATCAATGGTGGTTTCAGCAACAACGAATCAATCAACGGTGTTTGGAATTGTTTGGATATATATATATATATGTATATAACAATATATATATACAGTCTCACACACACACACAATAACAATTAGACACAATAGATGATGTTGCTTAAAAACATATAATGATAATTACAAGATAATAACTAGTAGAATATAACCGCCCTCGCCATAGATGATGATAAACATGTGAGAAAACCATTATATATTTTGATATTTGACCCATAAAAAAGCCACCAGTCCAGGTGAACACATACTCGGCCGAATAGACTACAGTAAGTATACCTCCCAATTATTGGACCCATGGTTGGGACAGGATGGTGAATGGAACCAATCCAACTCTTCATGTTTTTTCAGAACAGCCAAATTGCTGTGGTTGCCCGGGGGACCCTGCCGGTGACGCTTGGGAGGGGATGAAATTCGAGCCCTACGGAAGAACCTTGGCAAAGATGCTGGGGACCTTGTTGAAGGTTCCCTGCGAGGCGCGGGGTGCGGGAGGCTACCCTTGGGATGCTTGGGATGCTTGGGAGGGAACTGCAATGGCCAGGTCTTGGTGTGTGGACATAGTGGGCACACTGCATCTGAGATGGTCTGGGAACACAGCGGTTTGGGAGTTGGGAAGGGGCGCACTGGGGCACAGCTTGGAAGGAATGTTTTTTTTTTCTGCTCGCCCAGACAGGCACGTCCCAAAAAGTGATGCCAACGCTTGTTCAGGAGGAAACACTAACATTTTCGACTATCTGGGAAACCTGATTGTTGAACCCTCAAACATTTTTCATCGGTGATTCAATCCAGGGATTATCGCCCGAAGTTGGACGGTATGCTACATGCTCATCATGCTCCGGACATTTAGCCGTGCTCAGGTGGCAAACATGGATCAAACGACCATTACGGACGTGGGCGGCCAAGTTGGCAAGGCTGGTGTTGAGGGGCTCCGTGCGTCATCCAAGATGGATGAAAATGGGGGATGACAAACCCCCAGTGAAATGGCAAGTTTCTTTGGGAAAATAAGGCTTTACACCAATTTTCACGGATTACAGGGCTCTTCCCGAAGATGTTCAAGCAAAGCCCAGATGGCTATGAAAGATGTACCCTGGTATATTTGGTGTGTTCTCTGTTGGGTCGCCCCCCTGCACGACTGTCATGGCTCCAAGCTAAGCGCGACCCAACAAGCTTGATCAGTTCATCATGTTTTCCCACCATTTTCGCACCATTTTCCCACCAAAACAGGGGTAGCCCCTCCAGTTTTTCACCATCCAACTACCCAGTTGGCGTGACGCAGGGCCTGCGTCGCAGCTTGATGGAGATGTCGCGACCGTACCCTGGTCTATGCGGGACGTGTTGGGTGCTACTTTTCATGTGAGTACCCTCTGGTAAACATACAAAAAACTATGGACAATCACCATTCTTACTCGTAATAGGTAAATCAACTATAAATGGGCCATTTTCAATAGCTATGTAACAAATTACCGGAGGGTAACCGACAAAATTAGCAGAAGACTAAAGTAGTGGGGAGTGGACATGGGGTGTTCAAATTTTGTGCCAAAGCATTCGCAACCGATAGGGGACCACCACCGATACCCTATTTTTGCACATAGCATGGAAGCACAAACCTTCACAACCGATAGGGGGACCACCCACTTTGGCCATGTCCATTGCGGGTAGTCAGTAATTTTGCCCACCACTCATGTGAGCGATGAGGAAAAGTCCTATCCTTACACAGAAAGAAAAACACAGAAGGGGGGTGGCAAATGTTTCCCCACAGACATGGGAATGGGTAAACAATTAAAGACTTGGGGGAACGCAGATGTAAGCCTATTCTTAGCATAAACCATCCAATTGTCGGGGCACCTAATTTTGACCCATACCCACACACATGTTGAACAGTTTGAACACAGTCTCTAGATCCTACTGTAGAGTTTGGGCGATGTTTAATTGAAGAGCCGCCACTAGTTCGGACCATGGCTCAGCTCACTGAATTGATGTCCAATATCATTTCATCCGTTGGGGCTGTAAGTCTCATCGCCATCGTCCCATAAAAGACAATGGAGCAGACAATGTGTGTGTACTATTGTGCATATGTGTATACGTATACCTATACATTGTGTATGTATATATATATAGGTATGTATATATATATATGTACATATATGTATATGTATATGTACATGTACACATACAAATATATGTATATATGTATATATGTATATATGTATATATATGTATATATGTATACATGTATACATGTATACATGTATTTATGTATATATGTATGTATATATATGTATATATATATATATGTATTTATGTATATATGTATATATGTATATATATGTATTTATGTATATATGTATATATGTATATATGTGTATGTGTATATATGTATATATGTATAAATGTATATATGTATATATGTATATATGTATGTATGCATGTATGCATATATGCATATATGTATATATGTATATATATATATATATGTATTTATGTATGTATGTGTATATGTGTATATGTGTATATATATACATACATATAACATATGTATATATATATACATATAACATATGTATATATATATGTACACATATATACTATACATACATATATATATATATAAATATATACATATGTATGTACATGTACATAATATTTGTATATATATATATATGTAACATATGTATACTGTATCTGTGTTTTCACTGGTCAATCCCTGGGCTAACTTGCCGTGTGTAACTTTCCCGTGTAACTTGGCAGGGAATGCGCCAGAATCGAAGCCTCACATGATGATCATCGGAAGTGGGGATACCAAAATACCATATCAATCTACCCTCTATGGAAAACCACCATTTTTAATGGCTAAATCAACTATTTCTATGGCCATTTTCAATAGGTATGTAACAAATTACCAGAGGGTATCCAATATGATCTAAGTATATTCCAACATTTTGCGGCATTTTATGGGATGTTCACATGGACTCCACGGTGACATAAAGATATTTCCCGTTTCACCGAGGCTGGATCTGGTTCTGTTGATGACTGGCACCAATGATATCGGGTCGGTGAAACCCAGTGGTTTCAGTGGTGAGTTCATCGTGGAACATGAAACAGGGCTTTTTTTCCAGCCTTGTTCAATGGGAAACGCATAGCATGGCAATCAACAATAGCTTGTTCAATGTTTTTGGGAACATCAGCTTCCAAGCCCTGTTTTTTTGGGGGCTCTACGACCAGGATTTGAGTCAACAATGGATGCAGTGGGTGTATTCCTTGTTGAAGAGAAATGCGCGCGTTCATCCTGTGTAGCAACCCCCAAAGAGAATCAAAAAGACAGAAAAGTTCCGCATCGCTATTCTAGTGGCATTTTACTTTTCTATGTTTTTTTGGTGGTTACTGTAGAGTTTGATACAACAATGGCCTAGCTATCTACCGACATGGCCATTTTTTGTGCCTCATGAGAAATCACCACCAGATGGTGAGTTTTCGCCATCAGGAAGGGCGTTGAACCCAGCGCCGTCTTGGAGGATATCATCAAACTCCATGAGATCTGTAAGCAACACGGAGTTCGGACCTCAGCTGGATATACCCAGATCATGTCATCCGGGATGAACGTCAAGAACAGCTGGCATTGCGAAGCATACCCAACTCATCCAGTGAAACATTGAGGATTTCGGAATATGTATACAGTATGTATATATATATGTATATGTATATGTATGTGTATGTGTATGTGTATGTGTATGTGTATATGTATATACTGTAATACTGTGTATATATATATATATACATATTATAGCTAACCAGAAAATGAGGAATCAAACTGACAAAACTTTGAGGATTTGGGGGGCTGGGATTGACCTCGACGTCAAATCCTGATGCTTGGGAATAGCCTGGAGAGGGCGGTTCCGGTCCCACGAATGAGCTTTGTACTGGCTTTCATGTGTGGTCGGGGGACAAGACCCATTTGCAGGCTTAACCACACAAAAATAGGTTTTGCAGCTTATTTATAGTTGGAATTGCCTGACACTCATGAGCGATCTCTTGCAGTGATCGCAAGTCAACGATCCTTGGAAGTAAATGTACACATTCGCAATTGCCACATGTCTGGGATTCTCTTTATCTCTCCTGCACACGAGTGCGTTGAGACTTGAATTGGAATGATGGATCATCTTTGCAGGAAAAACAAGTACAGGAGGACGCATGGCTGTGTATTCTCAGCAGCCCACCATACTGTTGGGCATCTTGTTGTCATGGTGTATATCCACAGTGGTGGCGTCCCAAACCAACTGCAGGCAAGTCGAGTCCTGCTCCTTGCATTGCACTGCTTCCATATTCCTAGCCCTGTGGGTCACTTGTGGCCGACAAGGGCAAACCATGGAAGCATCAGGTTCCGACTTGTTCATGACTGTCATGACTGTTCAACTGATTTCAACTGGAAAGATTGAAATGAAGCATAATGAAGCCTTGCCAGTGTCTGAGGACGTGTGCATTTTTCCGTTTAAACGACTGGTTTGCTTCTTGAAGGGTTTGCATGGCAAGAAGCATGATAGGTTTGCACGACATGTGGACGCATGGCTGTGTATTCTCAGCAGCCCACCACACTGTTGGGCATCTTGTTGTCATGGTGTATATCCACAGTGGTGGCGTCCCAAACCAACTGCAGGCAAGTCGAGTCCTGCTCCTTGCATTGCACTGCTTCCATATTCCTAGCCCTGTGGGTCACTTGTGGCCAACAAGGGCAAACCATGGAAGCATCAGGTTCCGACTTGTTCATGACTGTCATGACTGTTCAACTGATTTCAACTGGAAAGATTGAAATGAAGCATAATGAAGCCTTGCCAGTGTCTGAGGACGTGTGCATTTTTCCGTTTAAACGACTGGTTTGCTTCTTGAAGGGTTTGCATGGCAAGAAGCATGATAGGTTTGCACGACATGTGGACGCATGGCTGTGTATTCTCAGCAGCCCACCACACTGTTGGGCATCTTGTTGTCATGGTGTATATCCACAGTGGTGGCGTCCCAAACCAACTGCAGGCAAGTCGAGTCCTGCTCCTTGCATTGCACTGCTTCCATATTCCTAGCCCTGTGGGCCACTTGTGGCCAACAAGGGCAAACCATGGAAGCATCAGGTTCCGACTTGTTCATGACTGTCATGACTGTTCAACTGATTTCAACTGGAAAGATTGAAATGAAGCCTTGCCAGTGTCTGAGGACGTGTGCATGTTTCGCTTTCAAACGACAGGTTTGCTGCATGATGGGTTTGCACGACATGTGGACGCATGGCTGTGTATTCTCAGCAGCCCACCACACTGTTGGGCATCTTGTTGTCATGGTGTATATCCACAGTGGTGGCGTCCCAAACCAACTGCAGGCAAGTCGAGTCCTGCTCCTTGCATTGCACTGCTTCCATATTCCTAGCCCTGTGGGCCACTTGTGGCCAACAAGGGCAAACCATGGAAGCATCAGGTTCCGACTTGTTCATGACTGTCATGACTGTTCAACTGATTTCAACTGGAAAGATTGAAATGAAGCCTTGCCAGTGTCTGAGGACATGTGCGTGTACATATTTGTCTGTTGGTTTATTGTTTAACAATTTGCTACGAAGAATTGATAAGTGTGACTTCAACCATTGTCCATGTTTTTGGGAGTCGCCTCCTACGTGACATTTGATCTAACCATGTCCTGGAGGTGCCTTCGATGGCCTTATCGCCTCCTCCCATTCCCATGAACACCGATGCCGAGGTGGGACAGATGGGTCACAACTAGGAAACGACCATCAATTTAGGAGTATTTACCAGATGGGGAGTTAAATGCTGAATGCTGACCACGAAGTGGCAATGTCACGGGCGGGGCAGGGTTTCAAGGTTGCAGGTTCCAGACTTACTTGGAAAGGTCCAAGCTTGGAGTTTTCCTAGGTTCCGAAGCTCCGAGGTTCTAGAGTTCTATTCTAGAGTTCCAGGATTACAGGGGTTCAGGGTTCCAAGGTTGCAATATGTCACGGGGCAGGGTTTCAAGGTTGTAGGGCTCAAGACTTGGAAAAGTCCAAAGTTGTAGGGTTCCAGGTTGCGACGTCATCCGGCAGGGTTTCAAGGTTGCACGATTCCACAGTTGCAAGGGCCCAGGTTGCAGGGTTCCAGGACTCCAAGCTTGCAGGGTTCCAAGGTTCCAAGAATGCAAGGTTCCAAGGTCGCAGGGTTCCAAGATTCCAGGGTTCCAAGGTTCCAGGATTACATGGTTCCAAGATTCCAAGGTTGCATTCTTCCTGACAACACTCCCCGCCCAAGAGAGTTGTTGGGAAATTACTGCGTTTACATTGGGAACTGCATCTCCAATTTCCTGATGTGCAAACACTTTGCACCATTAAAACGCAACCTAAATGCAGCATTATCCGGGCATATGGCCTAAATTTGGTGAAAAACATGTTCAGGAACATCAGAGGGATGACAAAGAGATGACTTCCTAAATGCGGCGCTTACATTGGGGAATGCGCAAAAGGGACTTGTCCTCTTACTGTACCACCATTTTTGTAGGTTCAAATCATTTCAAAACACATTCTTTCTAGGTGAACACCAATCAATTGCGAGTTAATGCATATCACTGTTTGCTGGCAAGAGCCCTGGTTAAATCTCCATTTTTGTTGCCAAATCCAATTAAATCGCATATTTTTTTGCTTAGATCGCTTAACTTCTATACACATCCTCTGAAACCCAGGTGAAACCCACATTTTTCTAGTTCAAATCCCCAGTTTTGGTTGGTTAAAATGGCTTAAAACCATCGGCGCCACGGTCGGTCAGGCCACTCGGCGCCAGTTGCGCGACTTGCTGGCCATGTGGAGTTCGGCGGGTCATGTGGAGGTGGAGGGCGGCGTTTCGTTGTTTTTTTTCTAAAGGGGAAAAACTAAACATTGGGAAAACCATGGGAAAACTGTAGATTATGTTTTTTTCCTCCTCAGATTTGTTGAGGATCAATTCTTTTTCGAGCTAGACTTGGATTTTTCGGGCAAACAATGGACACGTTTTGGACAGTAGTGCTAGGTCTTTTGGGCATTACAACCATTTTCATGTGTGTATTTTAGGCAAAGAGAACACGGAGAAATACAGAAGGATGATCAGGAAACGGTTTTCCCCACAGGGTTTTCCCCAAAAGTAGAATGACTATGCACCAAATTGTCGGCAATCTTCGTGAGTGTCATTACAATATATACTATACGTATATATATATATATATATTATACAATATATACATGATATAATTCAGGATCCACCCCAATAGGGTGCCCGAGTCTGGGACAAACCCATTGACCAACTTTTAAGGGATTGGTATGAGGATTGTGAGGGTTGTCGCCATTGCCTATCCGGTGCAGTCGTTTCAGCACCACTTCACTGCGGAGCTAATACACTGGGTGAGTCCAATCAGCCCCTCTATTTTCATATTAGGCTCAGAAAAACCGATGAATCTGCTGTTGTCTTCCACTCTTAAAATCATAGTAAAATCATTATGTACCCACTTGCTGATATAATCAAAGCTTTCATTTTCCCACTATCGTCTGATAAAACCTCAGGATTTTTTGGCTTCCAGATTTTGGCTTCCAGCTTTCCCTTGATAAAACCACCATTATTGATGGTAAAACCCTCATCCCATGATCCATTACGTGGTCCCAGTCATATGTGCCGTGTCGGGGGCTGGGATTATTACCATTTGATGGCTACATTTTATGGTATATAATTGTACAACATTGCCATCGGTATCATCGGTTTGTTGGTTGAGGTTTTTTTTGCTATCCTTTTGTAATTTACGGTAGTTCATATATATATAATTTATAATATATATATAATTTATAATATATATATAATTTATAATATATATATATATATCATATATATAATATTTGTGGTGATTCATGATCATATTTACATATATGTACCATGAGTCGGGATGGGATCATTTATATGGGACTCTCTGGGGTCCAACATGGCAATGGAATCTGCTACCGTCATGATTGATTACCAGAGGGCAAATCCTTTCTTGTCCCAGCATTATTCCATTCTTAAACCTCCCTAAAACCATATTAAACAAACTACCATTATTTTCCATATTCAAAGATATAAACCATATAAAAAACCATATAAAAACCATATCAAACCTCCATTTTTCTATATTGAACCACATTAAACCACCATTTTTTCCCCATGCTTTTCCAACGTTGGGTCCCGCAGGGCTTTGTGGATCCGGGGCAACTGGTGCCATCCAATTGCCCCAAATCTTGGGATCCCGACAGGCGGGATATATATATATATACTGTATATCTATATAAAATAATATGTAATTGTATATAGATATATATATATAGATATAGATATGTATAGATATGTATAAATATGTGTATCCAGGTATGTATTTGTATATATATATATGTTATACTGAGTGTGTATATATATATATATGTACATAGGTGAGAGGTTTCGGAATTTTAGAGAACTGATCTTGATGAAAGATTCTTGGAATTGTTGTTTTACATTTACAATAAGAGATGGGCATGTCACCATGTCCCCTGAAACTTGGGCTCTGGAGGGATAGTAATGTTCTCTGATTGCCTGAGATGCCTCCCTCAGTGGGGGCACTTTCGCCTCATATTCTCCATCCCAACTTGGGGTTTCTACCTAATGTGGGAAACCCAATGCCATAAGCCATTTGGGGATGGTTGAAATCCCACCCATAGAAATGGTGATGACTTGGGGATGGTTTATGAAATTGGGTTTGCCACAATACTTGAATTTGAAATGATCCAGAGAGGGGTGGAGCTGCCTCCAGATTGATACAGTGCCATTTTGTTCGGGAGAGATCATCCTCTCTGCTATATTTACCATCATTGATTCCCCTCAATAGCTCAAATTTGAATAAAGGTACCCTATACACTCAACATGTATTGTACCATAATATATACGTATACACATACAGACGTATATTTATATGCATATGATATAGTATATTAATAGATGTACAGTATGGATGATAGCAGGGTGGGATACCGACCCCGCATCTGGATGTCGAGGCTTCACTTTTCCCCAGAGGGGTCACAGCTGCTAGGGCAACAGCTGGCGAATGCGGCGGGGAGCTCGGGGAGAGTCGCAACTTGGGTCCGGGGTAACTATTACCCTCTGGTTATTTAACATGGTGAACTGGAAAATCGCCATGTTCTACTATAGGTAAATCACCAAAATTGTTTCTCCATAGCTTCGTTAAATAACTAGAGGCTTTCTGATGATTGTAACACATGTTTTTTTTTGTTTCGACGACAAATGGGATACTTATCAACCATGCTATTGGAATGATCATCCCACATATGAAGTTAACCCATAAGTGAGTAATATTTTTATGGGGTTTCTTGAATAAACATCCATATTTAAAGCATACATAACCCATCATAACCCCACTCATATCCATCAAATATGGCTGCCATGATGGGATGATACGGGATGCTACGAGGATGATCGAGAGGCCTTGGGGACGCGATGATGGCAACGTGTAGCCGGTGGACGGACTTGGCAAATCAACGTGCCACGAAGCACCAAATCTAGGTCAACCTGTAAAGCAACTGTCAACTGGGTAAAATCTTTCTGAATGGCAGGTCAATCGCTTCATTTCTAGATATCTAAATATCTTAGGCATGCCGATGGCGGAACATTTCATGTTCCACTGAACAAGTATGTCGCTTTTTGGCAGGTACAGTACTTATCAGGCTAGAGATGAGGTGGTAGCTGGTGAATATCCTCTGTGTCGCAACCACAACTTCCCTGGTTGGTGGTTTGGAACATTTTTTATTTTCCATTTCATATATGGGTTGTCATCCTTCCCATTGACTTTCATATTTTTCAGAGGGGTAGGTCAACCACCAACCAGTTCCCATTTTTTAAAACGTATCTAAGCCTTGATCCATGGGCTCCTCCTCAGTAAGACCAGCCGAGGTGCTGCCGATCTTGCGGCGTAAACGAGCCGCCAGCAGGGCCAGCCGGGGAAGTGTTTTCCGTGCCGACCATTGAGATCTCTGATGATGATAATGATTATTATGATTGTGATAATATGTGATAATGATCATGTAGGATTGGATAATCATAGATTATATGATGTGTAATCATAGTAGCAGTAACAATGATAATGATGATGATGATGATGATGATGACGATGAATATGAAGGTTGGCGAGAGAGTAGTTCCCAGAATTTTCTTGCGGCCATGAACTCAGTGTTTTCAGCCCGCGAGCCTAACTAAGCAACTAGCCGTTATTGAAAAGTCTTAGGAGCAACCAACGTTCCCCTCGGCAGGCTTGATGCCTTGAAGACGCGGATTGGCTTGAAGCTTTTTCTTAGTTCACTTTAGATGTCTGGAATTTGTTGCACCGGTGCGGTGTTCGTGCTTGAACAGCACGGGTCGATTCTCCCGGCCCCCTCCTTTGGGGGGGTGTCTGAGTCTGTCCAATGCCACGAAGACCAGCCTTGCGACGAGCAAAGTGCTTTTAGCCGTTGAGCGACTGCCGATGAGGCCAATGTGCTTCCTGCTGTAGTGGCTTGAGAGTCCCCAACCACAGGTCGACAAGTTTTCGAGGCTATTTAGTTATATCTAGTTATGCTAGGTGAAGATGGGGTGGCTTTATTAAGGATGGGCTTGGACGAGTAGCAAGACCTTGTGGAGCGCTCAACCTTCATCTAGCCTCATGGCCTATCAAAGCATGATTATGCCGACTATGCCTGAGAAGATGACTGAAACTGACGAGCATTTGATGGGGATAAACTTCAAACCACCAACTCAATTGAGTACATTGTGTTTGATTCTCACCCTTTATCTTGGTAGTATTGCTATTGCATTCCTGTGACCCCGACATGGGTTGAAACCACCATCACCAACCAATTAACCAATTGTAACCAATTATAATGAGTTTAAGGTTCAACCACAAGGGAACCCAACACCCGAACTTGGGCTGGGGACCAACGACGATGTTCCGTGGGCTGTTTCGCCAGGGCAGAGGGGCCGATTGCGGCTGACGTTTTCTGACTCTGGCGATCGGCAACACGGCGATCGGTCCGGCCCTCCGCAGCGCGGGCAGAAGAAACTGCTGCTTTTTCAAACAGAATTGGGTTGGGATGATAAAATTGAATCTAGGATTTCTATTGTAATGTCAGGGATTTGAATGGATGTTTGATGATTGGAAGGGGTTCTACGGGTTCTACATTCTGAAAAGCCACAGAATATACCGGGGATTGTCCTTCACTAGCCATTATGGATGTTCCCTATACGGTTCCATCGCCATACATCGCTCATATATGCTCATATCATGTTGTTGTACCTAGAGACTCTCATAGAAAGGACAACCATTAATAGGGGCTAGTCATCCAGTGGTTCATAGGGATTTATAATAACCATTATAGGGATCCTTATTATGGATGGGATGACCATCAACCATATAGTGAGTATTGACCATGGCTCATATGGTCTTGTCTCAAAAATGGAGCATGCCCCCTAAAATGGCCTTTCCACCACTTCATCAAAGAGAGCCCGTCCCCTGATAATAAACCCAAACTGGCCATGAGGGACCGGGAACCTTATTTTCAAAACAAGACGGAATAGGGTTCCAACATTTATGAAGTCCAAATGGTATCACCTCAAAAATGTCCCTGGCGGTCTGCTGGGTTCAAGCTTTGCAGGGGGCTCAGAGAAGCCGACAGCCCTGCAAACGGATCTGGCTGCCCCAGCTGCGACGCGCTGCTGCTGGTGCCGTCGTGCCGGCGTCCGCAGCTTTTGGACTGCGACGTTGGCATTCAATTCCCTAGGCTTCAAGCGCCAACGCGCTTGGGAGGAAGGTAACTGGAAGGGACTTCTTAACAAAAGCAACAAAACACCTGAAGATGCGAGGTTGAAGGGACTCATCAAGCTTTTGGAGTTTTGAGTTTTGATGCTGAATCGAAGGATTCAATTCTTGGACATATCTTTATCTGCTGAATTTTGGTTCCTGGACTGATGGTTGAAGCCATGGCTCCTCTCCAATCAATCTGCACCATCGTGGGCAGTGTTCGAAGCGTTGGTTGATGATTAGTTCGGGGGGGGTTATCGTTATACTACAGTCTATGTACTGGGGATGATCATCCATGAACTGGGAAGCCTGTTCCAAACTAACTAGTGACCATCGGCGCTGGTCCCGTCCGGTTGCCTCTCCTTGTGCACAGCGATTCATCGTGTCTGGACATAGGGAGTCTTTGGGCAGAGAAAACACTCAGCCACCATGCAAACTTGACGCGCCGAGACTGAAATTTTCTAGTCAATCATGGTGAGAGTATGGTGAAAATCCAGAGATTTCAATTGGTCACACACCACATATGGATATGGAACAAGTATTGAGGATGGGACTATCTTCCCCCTTGTGAGCGACGAGCAGGATAGTGATGTTATCTGCATGTTATCAAAATTACTGAGGCTTTGTATATTGCCATGACCCGAGGAGTTGGTATTTGTAGAAGTTAGTCAGTGGGTAGAACCCAGTCACCCTCTCGTAATTTAACATAGCAATGTAATATCAGCATGATTAAGAGGTGAATCATCTATAAATGGGCCATTTTCGATAGCTAATTATGTTAGATTACCAGGGAGTGCTATGTTGATTGTGCAGGTTTTGAAGCTTTAAACCGACTTGCCAAGCACTTTCTGTTGCTATTAGTATCCCAGGATCGTTGCCACCTCAGACGGCCCGAAGATTGCGCCGTTTCGCATCTGGTCCTGACTCTCTCGTCCTCCACCAATACCATTGGAATTGTATAAGGGTTGTTCTCGTCTCCGATGGACAGGAGCCAGTCTTGAAAAAGCGTCATAGACCTGGAGAAGCTGAAGATCATAGGACCCATCATAAACAATCTGACGTGGCCCCATTTTGCCCATTTCTCTGTGGAAATGGCGCCCAAAACGGCTTGTGTCCAGTCTAGAAATTATTGTAATACATTGTAGTTATAGTCACCTTCAAAAAGATATAGAACAGCTTCAATTTACCATCATTTTAAGTACCATTTTACTATCTTTCTTGGGGTTGCTTGATGTTGTCGCGCCGCCGCTTGCGCGGATGTTGCGTCGCGCCCTGTCGATTGAAGGAAGGGATCACCCTTAGGAATTGGAGCGAAGCTACCGGAGAAGGCGGCCCTTCTGGTTGAAGTTGGTTCTACATCGAGATTTTATGGAATTTCTGGGTGTTCATATTCAATGGCTTGGTAACAGCCAACATGAGCTTTTATATATTGTGATATACTATATTGTGATATAAATCATAGAATCTATCAATCTGGGCCTTCACCCCTCCAGCTGTCAAGAAGTTGGGGCCATTTTGACGATCAGCCGCACTTGGGCGGAGAAAGGTTGGCTCGGCTGATCTCAGTAGATGGTTGCGGCAGCCGTGTTGAAAGCCACGGCGTTTCAGCGGCAACCACCGACCACCGACGCTGCCAAGATGTGGGCGAAAAGGCTGCGATGCAGATGGATGGTGCTGATATATGCTGCTGGTTTCAAACAATGGGGGGGACGCCTGAAAATACAGAGTTGATGGTCTCTTTTAGTACCTCCTGCTGTCTCCAGCACTAGGTCCTAGAGTGATTTTCGGGGGATTATGGGGGATTTGTTATGGATGTTATGGGTTGCATGGCAACATCGACGAAGTTGGGAATTGAGAACCCCTCAAAATGGAGGTTCTTTCAATTTTTCCAGTGCTCGATTCAATTTGCTGATAAACATCTATGCCATTCATTCTTGTTGTTTGAAGGATTTTGAGGCTCAAATCCCCATATTTTGTTCCCGTGACCCGAAAAAAACACCGTCATAAAGAGAGCTCTCCCCATGCCGGCCGATCCGCTGGCCATGTTTTCGCCAAGGCCATTGCCTCGGCCTTCGCCAAGTTGCTCCAAGAGTTGTTACAACCTGAAGGTGGGGCCCTGCAGATGTCCACCACTTGGAGCATCGGTAGATCTCTCTTCGTAGCAATTCATGGCTTGGTCAGCCAAAGTAGGTCTCGCATTCTAAGACTCCCATTGCACCAGGTTTACCCTCTGGTGAACTAACATAGCAATGGAAAATCACCATTTTTAATGGGAAAATCCACTATTTCAATGGCCATTTTCCATTGCTATGTTAGTTCACCAGAGGGTATTGTGTAAGGCTGTAAGGCTTCAATTCTTTCGCAAGACGAGACGATACATGGCTATCTGGGATGCTATTCATGATTGGAAAAGCAGCACCCAATGCCATGGTGCTAATTCCATGGCAGGAATAGTAGTTGCAGTTCTACCAATCGTAAGGGCATGGCTCCCACAACATTGGACGTTTTACCACTAGACATGTTCACTTTATAGGTCCCAACTGGGAATCAGTTTTCTGGGACCCAGGAACCGTCAACTTGACGATCATTGTTACTTAATGTTACTTGGGTGTGTCTGAAAATGGGATACAGCAGCGAAACGGGAAAATGATGATTACCCTCTGGTAAATTAACATAGACCCTGAAAATAGCCTAGTTTTAATGGAAACTAATCTTCCAACCCCTATCTGCCAGGGTCTATGTTAATTTACCAGAGGGTAACCAGTAGATTTAGTTTGGTATCCTATTTTCAGACAACTGCACTTGGAAGCACTCGCAGGATGGTCTCTGCCGCCATCCTGCTAGTTTTCGCGGCCATCAAGATGAATGCAAAGTTCTTTGACCAAGCCATACCAAGCCACAAACAAAGTCAACGTATTCGTTCAAAAGATAAGAACGCATCTGCAAATCTCACAACAATCCATCGCACTTGACACAACTTTTAATTTTCATTGACACAAATACCTCCTTTGAAGTTCAAAGGACATGCAGGACGAAAAGTGTAGAGCTTGTTGTATAGTCAGATGCCGCCAGAAGGCAGTGCCCGGGTAGAGAGCCAGCAGGATACCGTCATCACAGTTTTCGCTGTGGGAGCCGCTGTGCGAGTGCATGGATTGATCCAGAGACCCGAGTTGAATGGCTGCCTGGGTAAGTTGACTGAGGACAAGGGTGGTCGCTGGGGCACCCAGCTGGAAGAACATCCACTTCCGTGAGCTTGAAGACTTCGAACTTGCAGCTTCGGATGCCCGAAGGCTACTGGCAATTGGTGCCAGGATCTTTGGCGGAGATCCATGGGTTGCAAAGCCCTAGCGACCTCAATGGGAAAGTGGCGTCCCTAGCGCAAAATCTGGGAGAGTGCTGGCTGGTGCAAGTGGAGGGCACCGAGGACATGGTCAGCTTGAAGCCTTCCAACCTGTCCCCGTTGGCCTCCCGTCCACTTGCATCCACATCCTGGGAGAGCGACCTCTCGGACCTCGAAGCTTTGGCCACCATGGTCGTGCAGGAGCTGTTGGAGGGGCATAGTGCGTACCCGGTGGTTCGAAGGCTTGGAAGGATGAAAGCAACACAGATGGCTGAAGAGCTATACCCAGTGGGGTCTCGTAGCGCCAGACTCCTCCCTCACACTTGGAGCGACCTCGAAATCGGCGAATCCGAGAGAATCTTCTACAAGATGTCGCTGTGCAGCAGATGCAATCAGGTGAATTATATGTTTACCGACATCATAAATCAGCTGGCCGATGTGCGTGCACCTGTTTTCCGAGGTTCAGAAATAGCCGGCATGTTTCTGTGCGTAGGCTTTGTTGTGCATGCCTATCGACAATTGCACATTGGCGAGGATTTTGGGCAGGCCTATTGGCAGCACAGCCAGAAAGTGCACAACGGATCTCGCAACCACATCTGGCTGGAGTTTCCTTTGCCTGGAGCCCCGCCCAGCGACGAAAGTGCGCGGCTGATTCTGGACTTGTCTGCTGCGCAATTTGACATGTGCTCCCCTGGGAAGCGTTTCGGCTTGGTGAGAGGTCAAGATCCGCAGTATAAGAAATGCTACGAGCTACCGAGCACCATGGTGCCGCTGCACTTCTTGAAGTGGTCGGCGGCTCTGAACAACGTTCGCTTTGAGGCACAGCATTGCATCAAGGGTATCCGGATCTTTCGGGAGAAGCTGGGTCTATCAGGTGGCTTCTCCTGCTTGGATGCGCATGGGATTCTTGTAAACATGTTGGACCGAATTGGGGTCGTCGCACCTGGTCAGCTGCTGGCTGAAGCCATGGAGTCTCCGGACATCAAACAGGTTGAGCAGGCCTGCGGCATGAAATTGGGAGCCTTGCTAGGGATGAATGATGACGCCGCACGAAGCATGAGAGCAGAATTGGGCGAAGGGCCAATGCCTGAAAATGGTGGCTGATCACATCAGTAAGGACAGCGCTGGTGCAATTTGGGCTCAGCTGCCCTACAGTAGTCCTGAACCCTTCCTGGCAACTCCCGGCAAAGCTTTGGGCGAAATGGCTGGAATGAAAGTTGTGGTACACCCAGGTTGCGGATGGCTTTGATGATCAAGAAATTGATTGCCAACATTCATGCGAATCTATGCGACTCTTCCGATGGGGGTTGCCCGCCAGAAGAACCTCTAGCAGTCTCCCATCAATCTTGTTCCCTCAAAACTGACATAGCTGAGAACCCATCCGAACCTGAATTGAATTGATCATGATCGAGGATATCGATGAATCAAGTTGCAGGGGAAATAGGGTTTCTACCGCCAGGCACTGCAGAAGCCATTGCCCCAGAGGAGCGGGCCGTCAGTATGTGATGCCCGGTGTCATCGAACATAGCAATGGGACATACCCTCTAAATGGATGTTTTGATGGGAAGTAGTCAAACTAACTGGGGGATATTGGGGATATTCCACTGCTATGTTTGGCTACCGGAGGCTAAACTTTCTTGGTACGGTTTCTAGTACTCCTTTCTTGGGTTTACCATACTGTGAGTGGTTGGTGCTGTACAGCTGGTCTGAAAGTCCCTCCTACTATGGCTATCCCGTTCTCACTGGGTTATCACTTGTCATCATGACCCCTGGCTGATCTTGGATGATCCTCTGGTACAGTAATCCAAACCTTTGATTGGAATGGGGTTTCCCATTGCTTAAATTACTGGTAGCATTTAGTTGGTGATTTATCCACCATAAAAATGAGATGTTGATCCCCAATGATGATAATATGTTTGAGGGGCCTGAAACCGCCAACGGGTCCGGCTCCATGGTGAAGGAGATGCTGCGCGCACTCTGCAAACACTGTCCCATCATCGCAGAGCAGCCAGTGTCTGAGATTTGGGGATGAATCAAAACCTACGGAAATATATTGAAATACAACGGAACCGTTAGATAAGAACCGATGTTCAGAACTTTCCAGCCTACCCGACCCTGGGGTTCTTAAGTTCTATCTATGGAAACATAGCGAAATTGTGAATCTATGGGTACCCTCAAGATCCCTCAAGTTCCCTCAGGGGTTAGTATGGGTTAGTTCTTAATCTTCACTTAGGGGCGCAGTTCCATTGAACATAGATAATATAACCGCTTGGCGGCTGAGCTGGGCCCGCTCCTTGCAAGAATCAGGGATAGTTCCCCACATCTTTGTGTGGGGTTCTTGTTTTTGCTAACGCCGCCCATAGAGACGCGGGGACTTTTAACTTTTTTTTTGTCTTCCGATGTTTCTTGTGGGTATGGGGATGGGTGGGGTGATGTTAACGTTCGTGTTAACTTGCACGCTTTCTGCACACTACGTCGCTCACGTTGCTTGGGTTGGGTATGGGGGTGGGTGGGGTGATGTTAACGTTCGTATTATTGCACGCTTTCTGCACACTACGTCGATCACGTTGCTTGGGTTGGGTATGGGGTGATGTTAACGTTCGTATTAACTTGTACGCTTTCTGCACACTACGTCGATCACGTTGCTTGGGTTGGGTATGGGGTGATGTTAACGTTCGTATTAACTTGTACGCTTTCTGCACACTACGTCGATCACGTTGCTTGGGTTGGGTATGGGGGTGGGGTGATGTTAGGTTCGTATGCACGCTTACACTACGTCGATCACGTATGGGGTGATGTGTTCGTACGTACTTTCTGCACACTACGTCGATCACGTTGCTTGGGTTGGGTATGGGGTGATGTTAATTCGTTTAACTTGTACGCTTTCTGCACACTACGTCGATCACGTTGCTTGGGTTGGGTATGGGGGTGGGTGGGGTGATGTTAACGTTCGTATTATTGCACGCTTTCTGCACACTACGTCGATCACGTTGCTTGGGTTGGGTATGGGGTGATGTTAATGTTCGTATTAACTTGTACGCTTTCTGCACACTACGTCGATCACGTTGCTTGGGTTGGGTATGGGGTGATGTTAACGTTCGTATTAACTTGTACGCTTTCTGCACACTACGTCGATCACGTTGCTTGGGTTGGGTATGGGGGTGGGTGGGGTGATGTTAGCGTTCGTATTAACTTGCACGCTTTCGGCACACTACGTCGATCACGTTGCTTGGGTTGGGTATGGGGTGGGTGGCGTGATGTTAACGTTCGTATTGACTTGTACGCTTTCCGCACACCAACCAGTGGAATGGAATGACAGAGGGATTTTGAACACTGCTCACATATAATACACATATATATATATATTATACATAGATGTATGATGTATAGATGTATGTTTGCGTATGCATATGTATTAGTATTTATATATATATATATCTATATGCACATTTAATATGTATGTTTACATGTATGTTTATATGTATGTGTATGTGTATGTTTATATGTATGTGTACGTGAACAACAATGGCAAAGACCTTTGGACAGCTGTGCCACATGTCTTGGAGCACATCCGAGAAGGATGAGTTAAAAAGAGCCCGCGTCTTTACGGGCGGCCTTACCTTGTTTTTGGTTGTGCACTTCCGCCTCCTCCTCCCTCCTCCTCCCTCCTCCCCCCTCCTCTCCTCCCGCCTCCCCGCCTCCTTCCTCCTCCGCCTCCTCCCGCCTCCTCCCGCCTCCTCCCGCCTCCTACACATAACCTCCCTCCTCCCGCCTCCTCCCGCCACCTACACACAACAACTTGTCCACACACAACTTGCCCACACACAACTTGTCCACACACAATTGTCCACACACAACTTGTCAACACACAACTTCATCACACACACAACTTGTCCACATACAACTTGCTCACACACACACACAACTTGTCCACACACAACTTCATCACACACAACTTGTCCACACACAACTTGCTCACACACACACACAACTTGTCACACACACCTTGTCCACATGGACGTGCATCACAACTTGCTCACACACAACTTGCTCACACACAACTTGTCCACACACAACTTGCTCACACACAACTTCATCACACACAACTTGCTCACACACAAGTTCTCCACACACAACTTGTCCACACACAACTTGTCACTTGACATGGACGTGCATCCTGCGTGGCAGGCGTGGGGCTTGGTGACATCGACCGTCACTTTGCGTGGCAGGCGTGGCACTGATGGCACTGGGCTGGCTCTGGTGGCGCGCTTGGTTCCCAGATGACGGTGGACGCCGCGGCTTTTTGCGTGGCAGGCGTGGCACTTGGCGACATCGACGTGCATCCTGCGTGGCAGGCGTGGGACTTGGTGACATCGACCGTCACTTTGCGTGGCAGGCGTGGCACTGATGGCACTGGGCTGGCACTGGTGGCGCGCTTGGTTCCCAGATGACGCCGTGGACGCCGCGGCTCTTTGCGTGGCAGGCGTGGCACTTGGAGACATCGACGTGCATCCTGCGTGGCAGGCGTGGGGCTTGGTGACATCGACCGTCACTTTGCGTGGCAGGCGTGGCACTGATGGCACTGGGCTGGCTCTGGTGGCGCGCTTGGTTCCCAGATGACGCCGTGGACGCCGCGGCTCTTTGCGTGGCAGGCGTGGCACTTGGCGACATCGACGTGCATCCTGCGTGGCAGGCGTGGGACTTGGTGACATCTACCTTCGTTTCAGGTGGCAAACGTGGCACTTTTGGCACTTCTGGCACTTCTGGCACTTCTGGCACTTCTGGCACTGTGCTGGTTTTAGTGGCACGCTTGTCCACACACACCTTGTCCACACACAACTTGTCACAACTTGTCCACACAACTTGTCCACACACAACTTGTCGACATACATTTGTTGCACATGCCAATCCTTCACCATCTCTTTTCTCTTTCCGGCATTTCCCATCCCATCTTTACCTTTCTTTTGCCAGTTATTGGAAGAAGTTGACATGTGGGGTTATCCGCTCCTTTAATTTTTCATACTATACTATACTGTACTATACTATACTGTGCTATACTATATTATACTATACTATGCTATACTATACTTGACTATATTATATTATATTTTATTACATTATATTATCCATTTGTTGGATGATAATCCTCTCAATGGCCAAGGCCAGGGATGCAGCAAGACGCCCAGGAGGTGGAGATGAGGGCACCATCAATGCTGGGGAATTTCCCGTTGGAAATTGTGAACCAGAAAAAACTTCAAACATGTGGATGATTTTTTCAAGTTCGTACATGAAAATTGGGTACCCACTACAAGTATGGATTGATTAAAACACCATACATGGAACACATGGTTTGTTCATTCTTGTTATTGTTTGGTGGTTTCCAAGTGTCTCAAGTATGTCTGTTCAAGCTGACCTGGCCGTTGATCTTATTTTTGGCTCAAAAATCAAAATATGCATATTGCAACATTCAACCAACTGGGATGTAGTTTGTGTAATTGGTCATAGAGTATATAACCAATGAACTGGTTCATGATTCCAACCAGGTTTTTATTCTTAGCCTTACCTGGAATGTGATTTCATGTTTTTGCTGTTTCGCCATCCACCAATGAACGTTTATCTGCACGCAATTCAAAATTTATACAAAAATTGGAATGGTGTACATGCCACAGACTCTTGGATATGTATATGTGCATATATGATATACACATATGTATTTATATACATGTATCTATACGCAGACATTTATAGACATTCTTGGAACCATTTGCAATGTACCAATACTTAAACACCTGTAAATGCAGAGACAGTGATTTCTCCTCCAGTCACAGAAATTCGGTGAATTTCTGGTTTTTATCGTTACACCCGCTGTTTTTTTGGGCTTAAACTCCCCAGGTTTTCGTTAAATCAACGGGCAGGTCATGGCTTTTCTTCTGGATGCGCTGCATGAGGACGATGGGGTAGCCATGTATGACCAATGACGTGGGGATTCCTGGGACCCAAAAAGATGCCGAAAGTGGTGTTTCCAGGATGTTACAAATGATGTTTGCTCTATAATTTCCAAGTTTCCAACTCTATTTATTTGGGGATTGCAAAAAAGGGATCTACTCATTCTTTCTGACCAAGTATGGGATGAACATCCCAACTTGCCGATACCCCTATTGAACCAAGGAGAATTGGGTGCTAACTCCACGTAGTATAGAACGGTTTTCAAGTCCAGCTTTCAAGAAGCTCATCCAGAGAAATCCAAGAACTGTGATTTGTAATCTTAGACTACTGGAGGGTGTGCCTTATGATATCTAGAAGAAGCATCACCCCCAGAGAACAACATTTCATTCATTTCATAGTTGATTGGAGCCCCTGCAACTTAGGATCATGGACTGGAACTGCTGCGACTGGAGTTTTGGTTGTCTCCTAGTTTGTATGTAATGTCCTGTGCACGTTGATTATTTGACAAGAACAAACGGCTAGGTGACTAAACATGGCTGTTGAATACATCCACATTATTGAAATTGCTGCCAATCATCCCCCATAGGTTTTTGGGTAAGACTCTCCCGCGTCTTTGGTTAGATCAATCAGGTTATACCCCAACACTTCTCTTGTTGGTGCCTTGTTTTTCTTTTTGCGCGTGCGTTTCTATGCTCTTCCTAATCCGCTCTCATATTCGCAAGTTGAGTGTCAATCAAATCTTTGTCCTTTTTGGTCATGTCCCCCAATGGGTTGTTGGTTCAGCAGCAATTTTGGTTGGTCAAATCCTGACTTGTTCCTTGGTTGAAGGCCATTTTTTTCGGGTTAATCTCATCCGCATCCCGGCAGGACCTGAACCGCATCCGCGAAGCGCGAGAAACGCGCCGCCCAGCCCGAGAGGCCAGTCGACTCTGGGTGGATCCGGAGTTGTCCTGATTTAAGCATCAAACGTTGGGGGAAAACCAACCAGTTCACCGGAATGAATATATATATATAATACATATATATAAATATATATTATACATATATGTATTATATATATATGTAATGGGGATGTAGTAGGGATACACTTGGATGTATAACTGTACTAACCCGAGAGATATGATGCGCGGTATTATCTGTTGGAATCGGGGGTGCCCCAGGAGTCCATGAAATCTGATTCTGCAACAGCGCAGTAAACATTGGCGAATGCATTACATCAGGGATGCACCGTCACCATCCAACGGAATCCAACACATGCCCAGGACACATCACAAGTATCGTAGCTAGGAAGAATCTGGAAGAATGACTATAAGCTTCAAGTAATCATGTGGTCCACAGCTGTGGGTCATGCTGCCCCAAAAAAACTGCTTGGCCTTCCAGATGGATGATTCCATGGGGCTCTGAAAAACCTCTCCTAGGTGATCTTCCATAGCAAGCCGTAAATCAACATAATCATCAATGGATTGGTTTAAGGGAAAATCTACAGGAAACCATTGATTTTCCCATTAAATATGGGGCTTTCCTGTAATTTTTCCCTTAAACCAATCCATTGAAATCAACGGCCGTTTCAGCGACCTCAATGAGAGGTACTGGTACCTACCATGTTGCCCAGGCCCCGGCGGCTGCGGTCTCGAGCTCGGGCCTCGGTGAGCTGCAAAAACCCGAGGAACGACTGGCGGCGGAGGCCGGGGGGGGCTGTTTGGTCTGTGAAACGTTGGAAAAGGATGGAAAATGGAGGTTTAATGTGGTTTAATATGGTTTAATATGGAACATGGCCCATTTATGGATGATTTACCCGTTAGAAATGGTGATTTGTTTTTGATAGTTATGTTAAATTACCAGAGGGTCATAGTAGTTTGATATGGTTCTAATGTGGTTTAATAGGGATAATAATGGGATTTAATCATGGATTTACCTCGGATTATCAAACATGGCTCGCTGGGAAGCCCCCGAACAACATGGAGATTTCAAATGGGGAAATCATTGAAATCAACAGGTGGCTTTCCAGGAAACCATGTTTGACTACTTGAGGGTGAAGGGTGGGGAGAAGCTGATCAAATCTGATAATCACAGCAACTGATCATGATTGATGATGATATGCGCCATAATAAAAGATCTATGATGACTAGATGGTCGTGGAGGATTATGACCTCCCCATTCTTCGGCATGGCAGGCCTGGTATAGCCACCTGCTTTGGCATCGCTCGTTGGTGGTGGATTTGTGTCAGGGTCAGCTGCGCTCACAGGTTCGCGTTTAGGGCGTGGCGATGGAGATGCTTCACCATTTTGGGTTGTCAACGTGGCTATTTCTAGGGGGAACATGATGATAATAACTTCAACATTGATTCTTCTTGCCACCTCCAAAGATAGAAACATGTTGCAACGATGTTATAGATGATATTTACTTCATATTTCCAGGTTTGCCACTTTTCTGTCTATTTTGGGGTTGCTGTTTCCAGGCAGCCATGTTTGTCCTACATTGTGGTTGAACATCGGGGCCCTCAATTGTGAGTCTGTCCATTCTTGTGGCCACTGAGAGGAGATGTCAAAGGGATCAATCACCCTGACGAATCGATTCTTGCTGTGTCCCACACATTGGAGACCCCCAAGCCACTTCCGACAATTTTTGACTCTTAGAAAGCAGCTCGGCCGGCATATCCAAAGCTGGATGAATCTCCGGTGTCACACTGGGGCGTTTTCTGGTGACTGCTCCAGGGTTGAGAGTTGAAGCGGACATTTGCCGTTTCTCGGCTGGGGAGAGAATTCGCGACTGGTAGGTGCACGGGTTCATCTAATTGCTCCATTTCGATGGAATAGTCGGAATAGTGATAGATGGTGATGGAACAGGTGATATCACACTTGAAACATACTTTGTATTGCAGGATTTCTATGGGGGGTTCTTGAAATGGGGCATCCCTAAAACCATCTAAAACCATAGGTTTCAATACCAAAGATGATCTAATTTTGGATGCCCCCAAAGGCTGAGCCATGTTCAACAAACCGACTTCCTACCAGAGATGCAGCAGACTCTTGGCGCAGGTGAAATGCTCAAAGTGTGGATGTGCTTCTGTGACCTTTGTGCGAAGCTGAGCCGCAGATCCATCGTCATATCCGACTTGGATCATGCCAAAACGATCCCAAAGATGAGTGGTTGCTACTGTGGATGGTTGCGAAATCCTGCACCAGTTGATAGATGGTTTATCCCATGATTTATAGGGTTTCAACATGTTTCAACCATCCTTTTTGGTGGTTTATCGGATTTCTTTCTTCCACCGTATTATAATTTTGCAAAAAGATGAGCTGCTGCAATCCCAGAAGTGGGAGGCTCCTGCAGATAAATTTCGATGGCAGCCACTTCAGCATTCGGAAGACCCAACATAGGCAGCGACCGTGCTTTGCAACTCAATGAGGATATATTCCAATACCTAACTGCATCCTAACTGCTTCTTAACTGGTCATATACATATATCATCATATAATTCGACATATTTCCAGCAACAAGCACAGATATATTCCAATACCAGGTGTATTTTCTTTCTCCTTGTCCTGCTTTGGAAACACAGCCACACGACTTTGAGGATCCATTTCTTTTCCTCACTTTGCCCTTGCCTGCGCGACTGAAGCGTGCGAGCCCGAAGGGTTGATGAGTCCGTCGGGTGGTTTTGTTGCTCTGAAGCATTCTGAAATGCATCCTCCAGTAAATAGACCCTCTGGTAAACATACAAAAAACTATGGAAAATCACCATTTTCAATGGATAAATCAACATCATCAACTATAAATGGCCATGGATTGTAGAACATAGAACGGAACCCATGGGATTCCGATCGCTTTTTTTGTGATGGATTTGAGGTGATCTCCCTACCTGACACCACTGAATTGGAACATCCCTGGAAGATGATTTCCACATGGAAAAGCGGGTGGAAAAGTGCTGAGATGTGACATGTTTGAATGTGCCCCTTGGAGTGTTGGTGGTGTGAAATATTTTGTTCAATTTTTGTTCCAACTCATATGTAATCTTTGGGATGGCCCAATGAAACATTGAGGTGGCCGGAAAGTGCACATTGAGGCTGTGGGGGAGAGAGGAAGAGAGTTTCGCAACGGAAAGTTGGGGAGTTTGACGCATATTTTGACTTTAGCCATAGTCATTTCCCTCTGAAACTAGCTTGTTTAAAGGGTTACTTAGCCGCGAGTACATACCCAATATATATATATATACATATATATATACACATCGTTAAATTATGTAATTACATATGTATCAAACAACCATGGAAGTGGCACAGCTTTGTTTGTCCAGTTGGAAGATTTCTACTGTTTTTTTTTCAGATGCCCAGTAAGGTACATTCAATCACAGGCTTGGAGTCCCCATGAGTCCCCTGGATATTTTCGGTGTTATCTCCCCATCTTTGTTGTTTGAATCCTATCGATTTATTGTTTTTTTGCCTTTGCATATATGTACACACATATATATATATACATATTGTTACTGAAATTCCATCGGAATTTGGATTTATACATGTAATGTATATCTCCCCATCTTTCTTGCTGAGTGAAAACACTCACCATATTCCGGCATCTGCTTGTCTGGGCGATGTTCGTTAAATTGATTGAATCTCCCAAGCTGGGGCAAGTTCCTCCAAGTTAGATCCAGGTACTACACCCCCAGCATTGGTTCAAGGCAAAATCTCTAAGGACCACCCATGACCACCCTATATGTCGGGGGATGAGAACCAGCATTTCCTCTAGATTTTCCCTTACATCGACCCACATGATTCTCATATTTGAATGATTCAACCTCCATCAACTGAGTGGCTAACTCCCCATGAAATCCCATCAACTTCCATAGCATCCACCAAAAAAATGGTGAAACTCGCATTCAGAAATTGTGTAATGTGGTAAACCGGATGATGCACCTCCAGTTTTGGAGGGTTCGTACCGCCCGTTTTTCCTGAAAAAATGGGGATGGTTCAACCTCATTATTAATGATTATTCCATAGATTTCCCATATTTCATATAGTCATATAACTTCCAAGATTTTGTGCTATAACTGGCTATAACATGCTATAACATGCTATAACCCGATACTATCCATTGGCTTCGCCACAACAAATTAAGCCATGGATAGGAGGCGATCAAGGCCTTCTGCGTGGAGGAACGCTTGGATGGAAGCGATTCCTGGGGATGTCCCAGGCCCTCGGGCAGTTATTTAATGGGGATTTTCCACGGGGATTTATTGACTTATGGGAACACAAAATTGGGGATGTTGATTATTGGGATTTTCCATAAATCTTTGTGGGATAAATCAATGTAGCTATGGAAAATCGCCATGTTTAATGGGTAAATAACAACTATTTCTATGGCAATTTTCAATGGCTATGTAACAAATTACCAGAGGGTATGTAATGTTATTTATGGGGATTTTCCATGGAGATTTTCCATGGGGATACAAAACCAACTATATATATATATAATATGACTATATATCTGGTTGGTGGTTTGGAGTATAATGATTAACTATCATTAATGGCGGATATAGCCAATAACTATCAATAACTAATAATTATCCCTGGTTGGTGGTTTGGAACATGGCTTTTATTTTTCCATATATTGGGAATAGTAACCCCAACTGACTTTCATATTTTTCAGAGGGGTAGGTCAACCACCAACCAGAATATGTCAAATAAAGCGAACACGTATTTTGGAACGGGTCAAAATTGACGAATGGGTCTTCCTTTTTACAATACGTACGTATATTTGGGAATGGGTCAAAATTTAAGAGGCAGGGGACCACAGATTTTAGTCTATTTTTAGTATCAACCATCTAAGTATTGGGGATGTGTCAAAATTTAAGATCTATGGGTCGTTCTATATTGACACTACATGTATTTCTCCGAGGTTTTCATACTTAAATGGGCCATGGAGTTAACTAGTTAGTAAATGGATTATTTCATTGGGATAGTTTGTGGTTTATAAGCCCAGTTACTAGCCAGTTAGCTAATCCCATGGCCGATCTAAGGATGTATATATATATATATTATATCATACATATATGTATATATATATATGTAAATAATATATATATATATGTAAATATAAATGTATATATATATATGTATATATATATGTATATATATATATGTATATATATATATGTATATATTGCGCATATATATATATGTATATATATATATATCATATTTACGTATATATATATAATATAATATAATATAATATGATATAATATAATATAATATAATATAATAAAATATAATATAATATATAATATAATATAACATAATATAACAATATATATAATATACTATATAAAATAAATTTTAATTAATATAAAATAATATAATATAATCTAAAATAAAATGATATAATTTAATATAATATCATATAATTATAATATAATATAATATAATATGATATAATATGATATAAAATATGATATAATATATAATTTACTATTTAATATAAAATAATATTTTATCATCTATTATAATATAATATAATACAATTATAATATAATATAATACAATTTTAATATATTATGATATGATATGATATAATTTGATATATAATATAATATAATATATAATATACTATTTAATATAATATAATATCATCTATTATAATATAATATAATACAATTATAATATAATATAATATGATATGATATAATATGATATATATAATATAATGTAATATAATATACTATTTAATATAATATAATATAATAGAATATAATACAATATAATATCATCTATCATAATATAATATAATACAAATATAATATACTATAATAAAATATAATATAATACAATATAATATCATCTATCATAATATAATATAATACAAATATAATATACTATAATAAAATGTAATATAATACAATATAATATAATATAATAAAATATTATGGGCAATACCGTCAATACTGTATAGATTGAGTCAAGCTTGAACGGATAGTTCAGTACTTCAATGTCTTTCTACAAATGGGGATATGGGGGTGTCCATACATGGGTCTAAATGGGGGATCCCCAAAATGGATGATTTAGGGGTACCCACATCTTAGGAAACCTCCATATGTACTCTCTCCGCTCGCATTGCTAGTTGTCCCGTCCACCCGACCCGGGCTATGCTCTTTTCAGATTTAGGGTTCCGTTCTAAGTGGAGCCCCGTTGGGTTTGAGGCTGTACCACATCTGCACAACTTTTGCACGTTATCTTTTTGCAAAAATATGCGGGTTGCTGAACAGAATTTTGTGAGCTGGTTGTGCCGCAAGTGCCCTGTGCTAGCAATATTGACGCTATAAAACGCTTTGGTTGCATGGCATCGCGCTGTTTGTCACACCTTGATGCCAAGGGCACGTCCTGGTTCTCTTGAAACCTAAGGTTGCTAAGCGTGCTAAGCAAGCACATTGCAAAAATTGCGAGCCTGACCAAGTTGAATCTGGATGTAGCGGACACAATCATCTAACAATTCACCAATGTTTTGCCCAGGCCCAAAGCGTAGTGACATGTTTGCAAGATGTATCTTTATTTTGCTGAAGCATGCTGAAACAAGGCAAACAAATGTGCATACAGCCGATCCTCATTACTGGAACGCTCCCCCACTTTGGTACTTGCAGGAACCATGCCTCTATTTGGGATCACAGCATGGAAAATTACGACCGGCCTGCTGCGGGAATACGCTTGATGTTACTTTTTCTGGTTGGTGGTTTCAAACATTTTTTATTTTCCATAATGCATGGGATAATCCTTCCCATTGACTAATATTTTTCAAGATGGTTAAAACCACCAACCAGTATTCTATTGCTGAAGCAAAGAAGCGAATGCGCGAAAAATTGTTCCTCATTGCCGGAAAACTCGTTCACTTTGGTACTTGCGGGAACCGTGTTTTTTTGGCACGGCCTTTTTCATGTCTGTAGGATTTTCATGTGATTAACTGCTGTCTACTGTACGGCTAAGACTTATGTTAAGAAACTTGCTCATTTCTGCGAGAGTCTGAACAGTTTCTTAAACTAAGATCTCGGATAAGAAATATATCGAAATATGGCCAGCTTTTGAGACTCTGAAAAAAGAACATGGTCGTTGATCATGTGACTTAGATTTATGAGCTCAAATTAAGACTGTCATGGTCTCAGCAGCCAATCTGGCAGCAAGCAGCAACAATTAATCATGGTTGATAGTTAGTTTGGGGATGGCATTAGCCGTAGCCAGTGTTAGTTAGTTATTATCAGAATCTTCGAACAGGAAATCGATTTATGGTTGTGAACACTGTTTAATTACCAAATAATGGCGGTCCAACTGTTCTTGTGCTTTTTACAAGCTGGTTAAAAATGGATTGCCCAGTTCATGGATTGTGATAATCACCCGAATATTGGCTAATAAAGCCATTCCCCTCCTGGTCAGAGTTGAAGGCCCTGATGGTGCTTCTAGAGGGTTTCAGACCAGTTTCAGACCTCCAGAAGTCTACTCTGGGAGCGCTAAGGCAAGCGTAATTCTTGCTGCAGAATATGTTGACGACCCGGTTCTTTACCCGGCTGGCTCAAACTCAGATTGCTCTGATCCATAGTAGGGGAATGGAAACTCTAGAATGGCCATTTATAGTGGATTTTCCCATTAAAAATGGGTGGATTTTCCAGTTCGCTATGTTAACAAATTACCAGAGGGTAACTTTCAAATTATAGTAACTTCCAAAGCCTGTTTGAAAACCAACCACGCTGTAGCGAGGTGCTGAGCTCACACGGGGTTCCTGCAAAAGTGGGAGTGAATTCCAAACCGTGTTGAACACATAATACAATAGGGGGATGGTTTGAAAGGGTTTCACCTCCATAGCAGGGTCCGGTCTGTGTGCTCGTAGAAGTCAGAACCGAAAAAGGTTCAAGCTGAAACTTATTCCGAGACCGAGCCGAGAGTCAAGTTTCTTGTTTTATACGGGTTTCCCAACACAAGTCCCGACCGTAGTCGTTTTGAAATTGCGGGATCACAGCATGGAAAGTTGCGACCTACCGACCGCGCAGTACGGATGTCAGTCACTTAAACAGCTTTTCCGCTGTTTAAAAATGATGGTGACCTGTTTCAGTTAGTGGTCCTGTGCCTTTTTGGGCTGCCAAAGCCTGAGCACCTTGAACCCCAACCACCTTGATCATTCCGAAAGACCTTGAGTATGACGCGGGAGCAGAGGGCGGGTGGGGTTAGCAAACTACAGAAAACCAAGCCAAAAATAACACACAATGTGTATAACATAATTAACATAAATAGGGTCAGAGAGAGACAGATAGACATGGGAATGAAAGCTGGGTATGAAAGCTGGGCGACAATCCTCGTTGATTTCAGGTGCGATCGTCGTGTCAGCGCCTCCAAAAGGCTCTCCCTATGGACGGGAAGCTCAGATCATAAATCGTGATTTTCATTGGGGAAATGGAGGTTCAATATGGTTTAATACGGTTTAATATGTTTCAGTATGGTGCAATATGGCTCAATATTTCATGTTTAATATGGACAATGGCTCATTTATACATGATTTACCTTGTAGACATGGTAATTGTTCATACTTATCTTAAAATAGCAGAGTGGATAATCATCGAGGACATGATTTTTAATGGATTTGCCGCCCGGTGTCATCAAACATAGCTAGCTGAGATTGTTGTTGTCCAACCTGGATCCGTCGCACAACCGTGGTGGGTACCGTGGATACCCCGGAACTGCTCGGCGGTAGCTCAGCTTGGCTCAGACAGAGCAATGAATAGACCATGGCACAGGTCGACACACTTGCAATGGAGCGTAGGATACCATGAATTGACCACCAGGCACTCTAAACAGATCGGGTGGAAAAACAACCAGGATGATGACTTTTGGGGAACTTGGTTAAGACACTTCCAGATTTGCAGACCGTGAGAACTCATAGTGGAGCTGTCGGATCACAAAAAGCTGAAATCAAAAAACACAAGTTCAAATCCTCTCATGGAATCGATCCCATTCCCAGTTGTTTCAGATGTTTCCGGGGCAGGTGCCCTGCACACGCGCTTCATGATCCATTGCAACTCACGTCGTCAGCGCCGAACTTTGGCCTGCGAAAAAGAACGGCCTTGAGATGTGGATTGGAAGCGAGGACCTGAGAAATCTGTCAGGGTCATGGTGAATCAAGGGGATTTAATGGGACAGTAGGATTTCATGCCAATTTAAACCAACACCAACCATGTAAGAATTTATGATATTTATGAGATATTCATTTGCAGACGATGGATATGATGTTTCCTTCGGAATAGAGTATTCGTATATACGATGTTCAGCCCAGATAAGATGGCAGCAGTGCACTTAAAATTGATATACCATGATAATATGATATACCCTCTGGTAATTTAACATAGCTATTGAAAATGGCATTTTTTAATGGGTAAATCAACTATAAATGGTCATTTTCAATAGCTATGTTAAATTACCAGAGGGTAAAGTTGATGACTATAGATAGACTTAAATTACCCGTTTGAGCACTGTCATGCACAGACCAATGTAATTATATGATATTATATGCCCAGATCTCAACAATCCAGTAAAAGGGAAAATTTGATCTGCAGTCAACGTTTGGTAGCCTCCGGCAATTTTTCACGTCGCAATTTGTTTAATCCACCATTTATAGATGATGATCCCATCCATGGCCCATCAAACCCTCCATTTTTTCCGAGATTTTCCTATGTTTTTCCCATCAAATCCTCCATTGTTTCTAGGGGATTTCCCCGCCATGTTGCGCCTGGTGCGAGCCAACGGAGGCGCTGTGGGCATCGCCTTGAGGTATGCTTTGTACTTCGTGCCCACCTCAGAAGCGTCATTTTGATTACATATTATACATTATTATACGTATACCATACACATATACATATATACATATACATGTATACATATGCAGATTCACATACGTATACACAAACATAGACTATACAAATAGAATTGATATGTGCAGGTACACCTATTATCTACTCTTCAGTAGACCTATAGCTCCACTAATTCCATTGGGTTTTTGCAGCCTTGACGCCCATCAGGCAGGAGCACCCGCTATGCTGGAAGAGCACTTGGAAGCTTGGCCGGGCTGCACCGGGCTTGGCCGGTTGACTTCAAACTCCGTCAAGGGGAATGATTCTGGAATGATGATAAATAGTGGGTTGGCCACAACACAAACGTGGGATGAATGGTGATTTTGGGTATAAATGGTGATTTTATATGATTTTATCATGCAATACTGGGAGAAATGGTAAGTCTACTATTACATATGGTATGTATGAGGAATTTAATGAACAAATATGACATTTCCTCACGAAAAAGGGTACAGTAAGGACCCAACGAAAGGCTTGTGGGCGGTTTCATGGACAGATATAACAACCATCGCAACAAATGGGATGATGATACTATAAATGGTGAATAGTTTGCAGGGGGATTAAAAACTACCCACCGGACTACTTCTCTGAGATTGTATCCACTATCAATGGAAAATTAAAGTTTTTCCTTATCCAGCAAATTGGGTAATCCCATCCCCTAATATTTAAACACGCCCTAAATGGTCCCGATTATGTGGAAATTCCCTACTCAACCATGGTTTCTTGGGGGGTGTTTAATATTCGGGTTACCCTCTGGTAATTTAACATAGCTATTGAAAATCACCATTTTTTATGGGAAAATCCACTATAAATGGCCATTTTCAATAGCTATTTTGACATAACCAGAGGGTATGGGATGATTTCACCAACACTCAATGGGCGACTTGAGAACGGTGGGCCTCATTGCAGATTTTCTTTGCTAAGCGAGTGACTTTTGTCTTTCCATTCCGGGTGTCGACCAGTGGTAGAATGCAGATGTAGAAAAAAAAGAAAGTGCGTGGACCAGCAAGAAGAAAGGTAACTTTCATATATAAATTAATATGATTTATCCGATTTCATATGATTTGATTCCCCGATGATTTGTTGCTTTCAAGATGCACCGCTCCCAAAGTGTTAGGGGGACGGATTTTCCAGTGCGTCATAGAACAGTGTAGGATTCACCAGTTTGAATATTGGGGATGTGTACAGCCAAACTGCACTGTTAATTATAGTTATAACTTGTAACTATCCCATGTATTTCCCATAAATACTTCAGCCAATAGTCCCCAATATTTTGCTTGTTCAATCCCGATTGATAATGTAGGGTACCTTAGGGCCGTAGGGATTTAAGAAGCTGGTAGCCAAAGAATATGGATAGCCCCATGGGAGAAAATTTATCCCATGGGGCTTCTCCATCTATTTTTTGGCGCTTGGAAGATGCCCATCCCTCGCCGCTTGGTGACTCGGCTGACTCTGAGGAGCTCAACAGTCCCATCACATCGCACTTGAGGCGGCGTTCCGTCCATGGTTGGGAAATCCCCGAAGTATATGGAGGTTGTCATCTTGTGGTTGCGAGTTGTCCCCAGGGAAACTCTTAGGATTGCGTTGAGAAACACATTTGGACTGCAACATGGGAGTAGCCCATCAACTGCAGGTTTCACAACCATCCACGAGATTTTCTCGATTCCCAGAGGGGAGCACTCTGGAGCATCGAACTTTTGGATGCCCCAGGAACTGGCTTTCATGTTTTCTCTTTTTCCACACATCAGGGTGTCCCAAGCCAAGAACGGCCCGGACTTTCTACTACAGATCCCACAGATCCCATCACCAACCCACATCGCCTTGGCAAGCACTCAGTGAAGGAGCGCCTTGTTTTCCATGCAACCACTAACTACTCTTGTTGATCAAATCCCCATGAAATCACTGAAGAAGTTTTTTTCCACAGATTTGCGCCTTGGAAAATACTGACATGATCCGATAACCACTTTTGTTTGCACGCCTCTGGGACATATCTCAGAAAGGGGGAAAGCTGATAATTCCTGGTGGATAACCATTTTTTGTCGTCCACTTAGACTTAGTTATCCACGTGTCAGCTTATGTCATTTCCGTGAGATGAATCTTGTGGGTATGCCTGAAAACAAGTTCATCCGTGCTTTCAAACCTCATTTTGACAATTTCCCATATTTTGAAGGTAAATCCGACATTTTGGACGGAAGCCATATCATATCATATCATATCATGTCATGTCAAATTATCTCATATCATCATATCATATCATATTTACACCCCATGACATCAGCACCGTGGTTGGTTTTGTATGCAATATTGGCAAACATCCTTCATCAGATCCCCATGATGGTAACATATCCACTACCTTGTGCCCGGATCTTTGTACCTCCAAGCAGCGTAGGCTCAAAGAAGGCCTCTTTTTGCTTCACCAAAGCATCTCGCCCTATGCCGGGGACACTTGTTGGGAGCCTCGACCCTGTCGCATGTCGCAGGTTGTGGGGTGACGCCCAACTGGGTGACTTTTTTTATCCTTTTTTGGAACTTGATTTCCGACCAAAGCTATGATATCTACCAACTTTAGCTATAGCTTCTAGCATCTTCTAGCATTTGGAAGAGGTGCACCGCTGGTGTCCAACTGTTGGTCCTGCTCCAATCCCAAAGGATCTGGGTCTTTTTTCCGCCGACAGCACAATAAATCATGAGTAGTAGTGGTCAAATTCCCCCATGTTATAGTTAGATGATTCTCCCGCTTATCCCATTTATGGGTGATTTTTCATTGCCATGTGTGATGACCGGAGGGTAAATCAATTATCCTATTATGTAGTATTCTCATGTATTATCTCATTATGATTGTCCCTATTAAACCGTATAAAACCATATTAAACTACTATGAAGCCCTCATATTTCCAACGTTCGTCCACACTTCCCTGGCTTCCTGGCCCTCTGTTTTCCTAGGCCATTATCCACCCTTGCTCCTGTTGTTTCTGGAACGGCTGGACCAGGTGCCAGTCGATTCGTTGAAATCGTTTGTTTAGGGAAAGACCTCCAAAAATTGACGCTTGAATTTCATCGTGAGGGGGAGGTTGATTGCTACTAGCCAGAAATTGGTGGGCGATACCAACAGATACCAACCATTCTTCTTCTTGATCTTGTCTGATGTTCCATTCTTCTCCTTTCCAGTTGCTGATCATCCCTTCCACTCCGACGCCATGGGAGATCTCCACGGCTGTCAGGTGTCGCCTTTGGCTGTCTTCAGCTTCTTGGTGCTCCTGGATCTGGTCCGAATTCCCAGGATATCACATTTTTTCGGTGGGTTTTCACCATGTTAACCCACCATGGAGGGAGAAGAGCCGATATATCTCTGCTGTTGAAATTCCATGTTTATATCAGTCCCAACTTTGCTGCTGGTTCAACCCTCCCCATCTCAAAATGATACTATAATGATACTTTCCAGCAAATGACTCCACTTTGATGCTACTTATCTTCCAGTTTTTATTTCTTATCTTCACATTTTTTGATGTTTGGGTCCGCCGAATACAGAAATTTGCATATGTTTGTCATGTCTTGTTTGTGTGTCATTCGGAAGTTTTTCACATCTATATAAATCGACATTTTCTTTGGTAATGATTTGACACCAGTTGCCTTTCACGCACGCCTCTACGCATGAGGGTACTATGGGCTGGAGCAAGAAAAAGTATGTGTATAATATATATATATATACACACACACTATTTTAATATTTAGATCTTTTTGCATCATTTTTGAATCATGTTTTGTGATGGTGAAATCCCAACTTTCCTGGTTTTCGTGGCCCGCTTTTGTTGTGTCCCCATTTCAAGGCCACAGCTCTGCTTCTGCGGCAGCTCGCAGTGCTGTACCGCGTGGCGCGGCGCGCGGCCGGCGCCGGCTGGGCGGAAGCCTCGCGAAAGATGGAGTGGGGACAGCTCAACGGGGGAAGATCTAGGGCTTTGTTAGGATTTGATGGGAGCTTCCTGGGATGTTAAGAGGATGTGTTTGAGAGGATATGAATTTCATATAATTTCATATGAATTTCAATGGATCTTGAGTCTTGAGGATTTAATGGAACTAGTTGAACAACGATCTGATGGGATTGGATCCTTGCTGGGCTGATCTCTTCGACTCCACTCGCCCACGGCGGTACATGAATCATGGCTTCACGTTGGCATCACACTCACTTGCTGATGAATTGCCATCAAGCCAGCAGCAATCGGTGATTGAAGCAAGTCTGTCTGAGCAAGTATCCAAGCGCTTGCTGATGGTCATATACTTTATTTGGAGATTTGTTTGTTGTTCTTCTCATATTTTATTGTTTAGTTTCTACCCCCTCTACCCCCATACAAGATTCATTTTCCACGACAGACTTCAGACCAGTTTGCAATCTCAGCCGGCCCAAGCCTAGGTCCACCCCGGCAGTGGCTGAAGACATTGAGGTGAAGAAAGGGGTCAAATCGGCCAGGGTCCCCCCAAAAGTGGGAGATTCAGTACTAAAGATGACAATGTTCTTTTCTGAGGGTCTTGACTTTTGATCCATACGCATACCATTGGTTGATGGTGCTGTTGCCGAGAGTGCCGGGCTTTCAACCAATGGGCCAAAGCCAGTGTTATATATTATATACTGAATCAGTTGGGTTCCGGAATTCCGGATCACTTTTTAAATCATAAGTGATTCAGTATCTATCCATGAATTAGGACTTTTTCCATCAGTGAATAAGTTAGGATGTTTTTTTTTTTTTTTCTGGATCGTATTCACCACTTCAGGACTCCAGAAAAGGGATCCAACGGTTGACAATAAAAGGGTGATCTCCGCCCAGAACGTCTGCTTCAAGTGATGGGAAAAATGCACAGAACTTTTTGTTCTGGGTTATATATGGTTGTTATCAAAGGAAGTTTAGGGGGAGAAACTTCCGTGTTACGGACTTTTAGAATGTCAGGGAAAGAGTTAGTCAAAGAAAGAGTTAGTGAGGGAAAGAGTTAGTCAAAGAAAGAGTTAGTCAAAGAAACAGTTAGTCAGGGAAAGAGTTAGTCAAAGAAAGAGTTAGTGAGGGAAAGAGTCAGTCAAAGAAAGAGTTAGTGAGGGAAAGAGTTAGTCAAAGAAAGAGTTAGCAAAGAAACAGTTAGTCAGGGAAAGAGTTAGTCAAAGAAAGAGTTAGTGAGGGAAAGAGTTAGTCAAAGAAAAAGTTAGCAAAGAAACAGTTAGTCAGGGAAAGAGTTAGTCAAAGAAAGAGTTAGTGAGGGAAAGAGTTAGTCAAAGAAAGAGTTAGTCAAAGAAGAGTTAGTCAAAGAAAGAGTTAGTGAGGGAAACAGTTAGTCAGGGAAAGAGTTAGTCAAAGAAAGAGTTAGTGAGGGAAAGAGTTAGTCAAAGAAAGAGTCAGCAAAGAAACAGTTAGTCAGGGAAAGAGTTAGTCAAAGAAAGAGTTAGTCAGGGAAAGAGTTAGTCAAAGAAAGAGATAGTGAGGGAAAGAGTTAGTCAAAGAAAGAGTTAGCAAAGAAACAGTTAGTCAGGGAAAGAGTTAGTCAAAGAAAGAGTTAGTGAGGGAAAGAGTTAGTCACAGAAAGAGTTTGCAAAGAAAGAGTTCGTCAGGGAAAGAGTTAGTCAAAGAAAGAGTTAGTCAAAGAAACAGTTAGTCAGGGAAAGAGTTAGTCAAAGAAAGAGTTAGTGAGGGAAAGAGTTAGCAAAGAAACAGTTAGTCAAAGAAAGAGTTATCAAAGAAACAGTTAGTCAGGGAAAGAGTTAGTCAAAGAAAGAGTTAGTCAGGGAAAGAGTTAGTCAAAGAAAGAGTTAGTCAAAGAAACAGTTTGTCAGGGAAAGAGTTAGCAAAGAAACAGTTAGTCAGGGAAAGAGTTAGTCAAAGAAAGAGTTAGTGAGGGAAAGAGTCAGTCAAAGAAAGAGTTAGTGAGGGAAAGAGTTAGTCAAAGAAAGAGTTAGTCAGGATATATGAGGTAGTCAAAGAAAGAGTTTGCAAAGAAACAAGTTAGTCAAAGAAAGAGTTAGTGAGGAAAAGAGTTAGTCACAGAAAGAGTTAGCAAAGAAATTGTTCCCTCACTGTAAATGGCATTGCAAGTGGTGCTGGTGGAGGAGTTGCCGATGGAGTTTTGGAGGAAGTCTCGCACGAAATGCGTTTTTGAGAGATAGCAGATGCACGAAACCCTGTGTTTTTCCATACAAAGTCCGTCCCCGAACGTCGATGATCTACCTCTGCGGTGCGACGGGTGCGAGACGGTCTCGTGTGTGGTCGGATCATGCTCGGATCGGTCTCGGATCGGTTCCGCATTGTAAATGGGGTGTCACCTGTGTTTCGTGCATTTGTGGTCGACAGAATTCCATTGTGATTTGCAACTGTAGGATCGTTCCCGCACTGTAAATGGGGTTGCAAGTGGTGCTGGTGGATGAGTTGCCGATGGAATTCCATTGTGATTTGCAACTCTAGGATCGTTCCCTCACTGTAAATGGGATTGCAAGTGGTGCTGGTGGATGAGTTGCCGATGGAGTTTTGAAGGAAGTCTCGCACGAAATGCGTTTTTGAGAGATAGCAGATGCAAGAAAGCCTATGTTTTTCCATACAAAGTCCGTCCCCGAACGTCGATGATCTACCTCTGCGGTGCGACGGGTGCGAGACGGTCTCGTGTGTGGTCGGATCATTCTCGGATATTCTCGGATCATTCTCGGATCGGTTCCGCATTGTAAATGGGGTGTCACCTGTGTTTCGTGCATTTGTGGTCGACAGAATTCCATTGTGATTTGCAACTGTAGGATCGTTCCCGCAATGTAAATGGGATTGCAAGTGGTGCTGGTGGATGAGTTGCCGATGGAATTCCATTGTGATTTGCAACTCTAGGATCGTTCCCGCAATGTAAATGAGATTGCAAGTGTTGCTGGCGGATGAGTTGCCGATGGAATTCCATTGTGCTTTGCAACTGTAGGATCGTTCCCGCAGTGTAAATGGCTGCGTCAAGGTTGCTTCGTGCTGTGGCTGCATTGGTAATACTATTGTCTTTTGCAGCTGGATCTCGTCAATCGTACAGGAGTGGCTGCATGAAGGCTGCCACAAGAATTTTGTCAGCAGATTTTCTCCATTTTGGCGCTAGTGATTTTCCTTCTAAAAATCCTTTTGAAAAGTGCTTCAAAATCGTCTTTTTTTCGCTCTGGCGTCGAGATCCATCCGGCTTTGGAGCTACAATTTCCGACGCCGTTGCGCGTAGTTCTATTGTGTTTTGGAACTCAATCTCTGCAGATCGCATTGTAATGGCTGCGTCAAGGTTGCTGCGTGCTGTGGCTGCATTCGTAATACTATTGTCTTTTGCAGCTGGACTTCGTAAATCGTATTGGAGTGGCTGCATGAAGGCTGCGACATGGATTTGTTAGCAGATTTTCTCCATTTTGGCGCTAGTGATTTTCCTTCTTTCCTTTTAAAAAGTGCTTCAAAATCGTCTTTTTTTCGCTCTGGCGTCGAGATCCATCCGGTTTTGGAGCTACAATTTCCGACGCCGTTGCGCGTAGTTCTATTGTGTTTTGCAACTCAGTCTCCGCGGATCGCATTGTAATGGCTGCGTCAAGGTTGCTTCATGCTGTGGCTGCATGCGTAATATTATTGTCTTTTGCAGCTGGACTTCGTAAATCGTATTGGAGTGGCTGCATGAAGGCTGCGACATGGATTTGTCCGCAGATTTTCTCCATTTTGGCGCTAGTGATTTTCCTTCTAAAAATCCTTTTAAAAAGTGCTTCAAAATCGTCTTTTTTTCGCTCTGGCGTCGAGATCCGGTTTTGGAGCTACAATTTCCGACGCCGTTGCGCGTAGTTCTCTTGTGTTTTGCAACTCAGTCTCCGCAGATCGCATTGGAATGGCTGCGTCAAGGAGTTTTGAAGGAAGTCTCGCACGAAATGCGTTTTTGGCGCTAGTGATTTTCCTTCTTTCCTTTTAAAAAGTGCTTCAAAATCGTCTTTTTTCCGCTCTGGCGTCGAGATCCGGTTTTGGAGCTACAATTTCCGACGCCGTTGCGCGTAGTTCTCTTGTGTTTTGCAACTCAGTCTCCGCAGATCGCATTGTAATGGCTGCATCAAGGTTGCTTCATGCTGTGGCTGCATTCGTAATACTATTGTCTTTTGCAGCTGGACTTCGTAAATCGTATTGGAGTGGCTGCATGAAGGCAGCGACATGGATTTGTTAGCAGATTTTCTCCATTTTGGCGCTAGTGATTTTCCTTCTAAAAATCCTTTTAAAAAGTGCTTCAAAATCGTCTTTTTTTTCGCTCTGGCGTCGAGATCCGGTTTTGGAGCTACAATTTCCGATGCCATTGCGCGTAGTTCTCTTGTGCTTTGCAACTCAGTCTCCGCAGATCGCATTGGAATGGCTGCGTCAAGGTTGCTTCTTGCTTTGGCTGCATGCGTAATGTCTTTTGCAGCTGGATCTCGTACATCGTCTTGGACTGGCTGCATGAAGGCTGCGAAATGGATTTGTTAGCAGATTTTCTCCATTTTGGCGCTAGTGTTTTTTTGTTGCACGTAGGTTTAGAGCAGTGTGAAGTGCGCAGTGTGAAGGAAGCAGTGGGAAGTGAGAAGTGTGAAGTGTGGAGTGTGAAGTTTAAGTTTGGAGTGCGAAGAGCGCAGTGCGAAGTGTGAAGTGTGAAGTGTGAGGTTTGGAGTGTGAAGGAAGCAGTGAGAAGTGTGAAGTGTGGACTGTGAAGTGTGAAGTGTGAGTGAAGTGTGGAGTGTGAAGTGGAAGTGAGAAGGTGTGAAGTTTGGAGTGTGAAGGTTGGAGTGGGAGGAAGCAGTGAGAAGTGTGAAGTGTGGACTGTGAAGTGTGAAGTGTGAGTGAAGTGTGGAGTGTGAAGTGCGAAGTGAGAAGTGTGAAGTGTGAAGTTTGGAGTGTGAAGTTTGGAGTGGGAAGGAAGCAGTGAGGAGTGAGAAGTGTGAAGTGTGGACTGTGAAGTGTGGAGTGTGAAGTGCGAAGTGAGAAGTGTGAAGTTTGGAGTGTGAAGGAAGCAGTGAGAAGTGAGAAGTGTGAAGCGAGAAGTGTGAAGTGAGAAGTGTGAAGTGTGGACTGTGAAGCGTGGAGTGTGAAGTGCGAAGTGCGAAGTGAGAAGTGTGAAGTGTGAAGCGAGAAGTGTGGACTGTGAAGTGTGAAGTGTGGACTGTGAAGTGTGAAGTGTGGACTGTGAAGTGTGAAGTGTGCAGTGTGAAGTGTGAAGTGTGAAGTGTGAAGTGTGAGGTTTGGAGTGTGAAGGAAGCAGTGAGAAGTGAGAAGTGTGGAGTGTGAAGTGTGGAGTGTGAAGTTTGAAGTTTGGAGTGCGAAGAGTGCAGTGTGCAGTGTGAGGTGTGGAGTGTCGAGGGAAGGACACGGTCGGGACAGGTTGTCTTGGAACTATAGGTCATTTATGTTTGGGAAACTTCCGCCCCCGGCTTGCCCGGGTCTATGTTATAGTTATATGTATATAGATATACAAACTGTGTTTTATGGTATTATTAATATATATATATATATTAATATAATGTGTTCAAATACTAGCCAATAAGAACTCCCCCAATATAGCTAAATATCGCCATCCCCAGGAGGTGCTCAGCCCTGCATTTGTGGGTCCTCGACTCAGTCCATGAGCTCGTGTTTTTCGAGGAAGATCCATAGGAAATCCCATGGCCTTGTACCACGGAATCAGCTTTGGAATTGCCAAAAAAAACCAGGATTTCAGATTTGTATATGGGTCAATACCTATAGATACATTTTTAGTGGGATGAACATCCATAAATCCCAGCTATTTTGGGGTTCACTAGGTACCAGGGTTTTGAGCCATCCCCATTTGAAGTTGCAATATTTGACAGTTACCCTCTGGTAAACATACAAAAAACTATTGAAACTGGCCATAGAAATAGTGGACTTTCTCATTAAACATGGGTGGATCTTTCCATAGTTTTTTGTAAACGTTGACCGGAGGGTTTACCGTGAGGAAATCCCGGGTTCACCTTGAAGGGATCGGTGTGGTGGACGACAAACTACAGAGCCTGGCCTCAGCCCTGAGGCCTGTTTTACTTGCTCAACCCACTGACCATTGCCAGCTGCCCTGGCACTCAGTCACTTTCGGGAACCATGGATTGGTTGTTACTACCCTCTGGTAGTTTAAGATAGCTATGGAACATCACCATTCTTTATTTCGGCAAATCATATATTAGTGCGCATTAGTGCGCTATTTTCCGCTATGTTAAACTACCAGAGGGTAAATCATTCTATTTTTCCTGATTTGGGCCAAGTCGCAACGGTGGAAATGCTGTGGGCCAAGGTGTTGCCTTGTCGATTCAGAACTTGCAGCATTTCATGTTTACCTTGGCCATCGTCGCGGCAGCCGTCGGACACCCAGGGCAGAAAGCAGAACATGGCCTATATGGCTTTGTCTGAACATGGGGTAAACCACAATTTGTAGCCATTTGATTCATTGAGAGTGAACATTATGATTAGTTAGTGGATGGAATGGCGTACCCTATTTGTACACAAACCTTGACACAGCCGTATGTATATATATGTATATGTATATGTATATGTATATGTATATGTATATGTATATGTATATGTATATGTATATGTATATGTATATGTATATGTATATGTATATGTATATGTATGTATGTATATGTACGATGATGATGATGATGATGATGATGGTGATGATGATGACGACCAGTATCCAAACTTTTTGGTGTCAGCCTGGTGTAAGAAGGTTCCTGGAATGTATCAATTAGTCCACAAGCAGATGCAATACTGATGATTGTAACAGTTTGAAGGAATGATCTGCACATACCTCTAAACTCAGATCCGTAATCAAAGTATCATTGAAACATTCTCTTGATGCAATTTTACGTTTAATTCCATTCTCGGAATTGATTTAAAGGCCCTTCAATCTACTTGGAACCGCCATACTTGATGGCAAAGACGCATGTTTTTTTTTCCCCCCCGTTCAGAATAATTGAGTGATGCATCACACCATTTGAGGCCGGTAGAGGGGGGTTTTCCGCCATAGCGGTGGCTTTGTCGCTATACGTGACTTGGCGCAATGGGGTTGGAGGAAACTTGCTAGCATTGTAGTTTAAACATTGAACATTTCTGTCAACAACTGGGGTGATTTTTTGTTCTTGTTGGTGAAATACTGATAATTCCCTACATTTACCTTCCAATCTCCGTATGCCCATGTTGCCAGCTAGTTCTGCTGCCACCTGCAGTACCTGAGTAGCCAAAAAAGCCGTGGCCGCAGAATTCTGCTGAAACTTCATCATATTTGCTACATTTTTGTTGCCATATATATACACACATAAAATGTATATTATATATATACAATGTATTATATATATATGTATATGTATATGTATATGTATATTTATATGTATATGTATCTGTATATGTATCTGTATATTTGTACATATATTTGCCACATTTTTTGCCACCCCCCCTTTGATGTCTCCATGCAGAAACGCCGCCTAGGTCTGTCCCTTCACATCGATCTTGTTGCTGTTGCCCTGCGCAGCGTTGGCCTGGCAGTGACCTGGCGCTACTTTTTTCGAAAACCCATGGGGTTTTACCGGAGATTTCCTTTTCAATGGGGGTTTCCATAAATGGTGGTACCCCCAAATGGATGATTTATGGAAAATCCTACTCAAAATGGATGATAACTGGTGGTATATAGGATATTTTAGGACACCTCCATTTGGGTTTGGACCTGAAAATAGAGGATACAAAAGGGTTTTTTCGCCCACTCGGGGAATATGAGGCGTTGATCCATTGGAATGTGGGGTACCCTATTTTCAGACAAGCCCATATGGGTCAAAAAATTGAACTCATGTGTAGAACCACATAGAATTTAGTCTATGTTTCGTGTGAACTAACCAATTTTTTTTGAGGTATCCAATTAAGACCCACATATATACTTCCATCAAGGTTTGCTTTTGTTCAGTGAGATCAACCATGGCCAAGATGGTTGGATACCTCAAAATGACACTCCTCATGGGGAAAGGGATAAACCACTGGATTTCGGCTTCACTGAATTTGGTGATAAACCCCAATGTCCTTTTCTGCCCCATTGAAAAACCCAGAGGCAAACATGATGCATGATCAATCACATAGACTGAAAAGTGCTAGGCTATACCAATCACAGGCCCAAAATTAATGCTTTTTCCCAGAAGGCGTCATTCATGGGGTAGAGTTTTCGGTGTTCCATCGCTATCAAAGTTGGATGTTGGAGGCCACCGATCTTGGAGGAGCTGGGGTTCAGCTAAGATGCCCCAACTGTAGCTCCAAGATGCAAATCAGATGATGTTTGGAAATGGCTTTGTCTGAAAATGGTTTACCCTCTGGTAAACTTACAAAAAACTCTGGAACATCATGGAACATCAGAATTATTTTATGGGTAAATCACAACTATTTCTATGGCCATTTTCAATAGTTATGTAACAGCCATTACCAGAGGGTATACCATTTCGAAAACCACCAGTTCTGGCTGTTTCTGGAAACTCTGCGCTTCACAAACGATTCACCCATGGAAATTTAGAATGGGCTACCCGGCCTGGTCAACGTTTACAGAGTGCGAACTAGAAAATAACCATTTTGAATAGGTAAATCAACGATTTCTATGGGGTATTTTCAATAGCTATGGAACATATTACCAGAGGGTACACACAACTATCCATTATTCATCCATTACTGTTTGCTATTGTTCCGTTATCAACTATTATTATCCATTGTAATCCATTTTTATTCATTATAATTATAATCCATTATGAGAATATTATAATCCATTTATCCATTATAATCCCAGAGGCTAACTGGGATGATTTTCAGTTTTCCTTATATTTTCATAGACAAAACCCATAGATTTTCCGACTTTTGGTCAAGGCAGAGCCGCAAGGCGCGCGAACAAAGCGGCGATCCCGAGCACCTTGGATCCCCATGCTTTGGGATGTGTCTTATAGGCCAATGGTCATGTAATGGTTATATGAAAACACAATATCCCATTAGTTATTGGTGTTATATATATATACATAAATATATATATATACATATATATATATGACTATATATGCACTCTATATATACATATATATATATATATATACATACATATGGGTAACTTTGATCAAGACCTCACATCGTGACCTCACTGAAGATGATGGTTTGTCTATGGGGAATTCTCCCAAAATAGCCGAACTCTTAGTGCATACGTATATACTATATTTATCCAGAATTCTAGTATCTTCCGTATATATTATGGGATACCTCCCTAAAAAATAGAACCGTGATTTATCACTATTTGAGTCGGATTTCACTTTTGACCATGCGGGATACCCCAAACTTGTCATTTTTTATGTGGAATAATGAGCAATGGAAAGAACATCGGGAATCGTGCCCCCATGAAATGGATACGTAGTGCGGTAAACCCCGTGTTTTTTTTGGGATCTGACCAGCAAATCATTGGGAACCATTTTTAGGATACCCCTTAAAATTCTGGCCGATGGCCAGATGAATAAAAACAAGAAGTCACGGTAAAACATGTATATGAAACAATATGTTTTTACATTTCCAATATTTATAATTGTATATATTCTTTGTCATACCATGATAATGAGAAATTACCACACGGAGATTTGCAAATTGATCAAAGCAATATTGAAAAGCCCAAACAAAGCACAAACAACACACTTCAACATAAATATGTGAGGTTGATACATCTTCTAAAGCTGCAAGAAAACGTCGAACATGTTCAAACAATACAAGAATAGATTCAGAACACAGTTGAATATTTAAATAGATGAAGAGATGTGCATGTTAGCAGAAACATGTCCAGTGTGAACACAAGTTTGATACGTATACACATCAATGAACCAACAAAGGGACCAAACAACAAGAAAAGCTCAAATAACACTTGCCAACCCCCTACTTACCATGGGGTGCTTACAGACAACCATTTGATTGGGTTGTATATTGGGGTTACAACAAGTATATTAATTTTATGATCTAAAGTAGTAGAATACCAAAGTTCCTTTTGACCAACAACGTTGAACTCCTCTGTTCATTCAGGTACCTCCCATCTTGGCAGCAGAAATTGGTGCCCGCGTCACGCTTGCGCTTGTGCCTGATACCTAGGGGTTATGGTAGGATTGGCAGATCCATGGTAGCCAGTCCCCACCTCAGTTGATGACGTTCTTCTGGTTGCGGGCAGTGGCAGGTGAATTGTGGTTTCATCGCATATTGTGCCACTTTGCTGCACGGAAATGGTCGCCTGAAGAGCCGTTGATCAAATCACAGGATGCGCATTGGTCAGAATTGAGAGATTTTTGGATTGCCTCAGACTCGCTAGCAACCAAGATTTCTTTTCAAGGCGCCCTTTTCCCACTGCTTAGTGGAGCAACCGGAATGAACAACCCATACATAGATGATAAGCAATGGTATATCAAACGGAAACCACACCTACTTAGGTCTGTTTGAAAATCGAGCAACCACAATGGCCCAATTTCGATGCATTATGGTTTGTGATCATTTTCCCCTTAACAGTGCGATATTTTTGGACAAAATCCAAGTCTTTAACGCACACATGTCATATTATTGGTCGTACATCCCATTGTTTTTGGTTGATTCAGGACACCCATATATGCTGTTGGTTGTATGCAATTAATATCCACAATCACAACATATACCACTATATCACCATGAAGGTTGGCTGAATGCATATTTACAATGTTAAATCACCCCGCACCCCTAATTAAGCTAACTCCACATATTGCCAGACAAGACCCTATATCTAATCTCGCAGATACTCACATACGCCATGCTGAGTCCTTCAGATGGTCTTTTCGAGGTCATTTTCACCGCTATGACGCTGGGTCTTTTTGCATGTCTTCTGGGAGTGCTGCCGGCATCATTTTTTTGGCGTACGGAACCTTTGGTAAATCAGATCTGGGAATTGCAGACCATTTGTTTTTTTGCCAAAATCATTTACAAACATGATGAACATAGAGGATTCCATTGCCGAGGATTTCCATTTGCAAACCATTTGCCTGAAAATTGAGGATTTCCATTGCAGGAGAACGCGCACCTGTCATCACTTGTCCCTCTCCAGGTGGCAGAAACCAAACCTGCCACTGTGTTAGATCAATGGTAGATCCTGGTTTTTACAGTTTGGGGGTAGAAACCTGGCAACAAACATCTTGGGCTTGTTAGTGATTTAGTGGGTGTACCATATTAGTTTCATCCCAAGAATTGACCAGAAATGGGTTGTTGAAGCCCCAACCATCCGAAAATTGAAGGGTTCAGGCAGGGTTTACCACACCTAAGCACCAACAGTTGCTGTTTTACCCAATTTGTCGAAATTGTACCATTTGAGAATTAGCATAAACCTTTCTCAATCGAGGTACACCTATTTTCATAAACCCCAACGACATAAAGAATAATGATTTGGTAAACCCAACAATAACCCACCCCCCAAAATTACCATAAATGGGTTGTATAAGGTTGTACAAACCACCCCCAAATGGTAGGTTTGTTTTTGGGTTTACCACATCAATTGTCCCAAAGCATAAACACACGGAATTGGGGATAGATATTTCCACATCCACCAATCAACCATCCATTTTACCTCAAACGATGCTAATCCACCAAATTTCCCATAAATCCTTCCTGATGATAAGGATCCCAGCATCATCAGCCCTCAATGGACCTCCAGCCTCATTAGTAACTAATGGAGCAGGAGGTTGGTGCGATTCAGAATCATACTGATAATATCTGATAACAGGAATGATCATGAGACTGATGATGAGGATGAGGATGAGAATTGACAATATATATATATATATATAATATAAATATACGCTTGCCGCCAGGCCTCGGCTGCCTCGATGGGAGGCGAGTTGCAGTTCTTCGAGGCCCGGGAATGGTCAGCACCCGGCCTGGAATCCGTGGGAGATCCAAATGGATGTTGGATAATTACAGGGTTTCAATATGGGGATATATTTTTGTATATTTATAATATATATATATATATCATATATATATATATAAATTCTAATAACTATATATATATATATATAATGTATATTTATATACATACACATATTATGCCACCTTCAATGGGCATTTGGAATCAGCAAAAAAATACATGGAATTTCGTTTGCGTTACTGGCTGTGGGTCCTTGAAAGCTCGGGGATTTTACCGCACTACGAGGCCTGCTTTGTGTCGGTGATGGCCGTCCGTGACTTGACGCCCAACACGGGGCTCTTTTGGTACATGTTCACGGAGGCTCAGCTGTCAACTTGCAAAACACCTGAAATCGATGGAAATTCCTGGGAAATGATGGTACTGGTGGATTTTTCCTGAAGAAGTGTTAGTTTACTGGAGGGTAATTTGGGAGCTGCAGAGATACAGTACTGATTAAGATGATGGAAAAACGAATTGTTTAAAAGTAATCATTTTTTCTGGAGTGAAATGTGAGCTGGACGTGAAGCAATCTTGTATAATGTATACTGATGTACAAATTATCGTATGGCATCTCAGAATCTGCTAGAAACCATCATCATCTACTTTGGCTTGTAGCTTTGCCAGCCTTTTCACTTCGCTGCAGTGAAGACCCGGCAGGTCTTTCAGCGATATTATCAGCTCTTCATCTTTGCTTTCCATGCCCACATCCTGTTTTATTCTGCCACTTGGCTTAAAATTTTCAAAGCCGTAGATTTGAGTTTGAGAGAGGTGGGTGTAGAATCTAAGTAAGCATTCTCCATATGCAGGTCCAGTCACATCCCATTCATCCGTTTTCCGTTTCACATATCTCCCCTATATTTTCATCTTCCAAAATGGGATGAGAGAACTACACAAGTAACACTCCCTTTTTTTTGCAGGGTGGTGGCCCAGCCATCATGCTGCTTCATCTCCCGATGTTGCTTATGATCATCCACGAATTTCCCATGAATATCCCATATATTTGGCTTGTGAAACCAGGTCTCCCCAGATGGAAAACCGCAGAGCCTCAGGTCCCCTTGCACCTTCGACTTGGCTGTTACGGTCCCACCGGGTCTGGAATCTCAGTGCTGATTCGCTGGTAGCACCCCCCAAAAAAGGTCGAACAGTTGGAAGCCTGGAAATTATGGGTAATACATCATCGAAGTAATTACCATCCTGGAACTTTTCCGCAATCGCCACACACATATATATATATACATACACATATATATATACATACATATATATATATATACATATGTATATATACATATATATATGTATACATTTATATATATACATATATATATATACATATATATATATATAGGTAAATCATCTACAATTGATCATTTTCCATAGCTGCCATAGTTATCTTAATTTACTGGAGAATCTACTATGGTTGTTCCACAGAGATTCCATGTGTCTTTGAAAGTCCACAAAAGGATGTTCTCATGACACAGATCTCTCATTTTGGTCCGCAATTCCTTGATATGACTTGATATTGTTGTTAAATGACATTGTTCTGCTGAATTCTCAGTCTCACGACATGAGGTTCCATATTTCAAAATCATGTTGGGTATCCCAAAAGCCGGTTAATGATCATTGTTCCATTGTTGTGATTTACTATTTCGATATTGCCACAACGTCCCTGACCTTTGGACAAAGCGATATGGTGTCTCCATGGAGTTGGTCAAAACATGGTAGGGCTTATGATTACCCTTTTCAATGGGGGTTTCCATAAATGGTGGTACCCCAAATGGATGATTTATACTGGAAAATAGAATTAAAATGGATGGTTTGGGGGTAGCTCTATTTCAGGAACCCCTATATGATATGGGAATCCACAGACAATGGCTTTGTCTCAAGACCTCTGTGGAGCTCGGCGTTGCTAAGTCCATTTATTCATTGTGGAGCAGCTTTGGGCATGGCTTCATCCCCGGAACGGGATGGGGGGGTGGTTGGGATGCTGATTCTCCTTTTATGGTTCCATGGGGAAAAATGAAGGGGACCTGAACCACGGGTTGATTGGAGGGTTGCCTGATTTTCAGACAAAACGTATTGACCATTCTAGCAGCAGCCAAGATCCTTCACAATGCGCCAGCTGCCAGAATGCACATGATGCCCGAGGATGCCCAAGGGGTGACAATGGGGGCAACTTTTGGGTCTCCTACTGTACTTCCTTGAACTCTTGACCCATCATTGCCATAGTTAACCCACCCATCATATTATGATGGAGCAGTACGATCAGTTCCCATAATAACCCATAATTATCCACTCAATTTCACCAGAATTACTCCATTTATCATTCTATAATCAGCACTTCAAGATATTCATATAATATATCCATCTGTCAATCTCATCATTATCAGTACAAACACCCATACATATCATCCAGTATGTCCTCATCCCATCAATCCATTCACTATATATATATATACTGTATATGTAGGATATCATGTATAGGTCATGGATATCATCTATAGTGCATGGATATACTATACATATATACCTTGAATATCATTGTATAGTGCATGGATATCATCTATAGCGCATGAATATATATATATATATATATACACACCTAGTGCATAGTATCATCACAGCAACATAGATATCCATCGCTGCTTAGCACGGCGTGCTGAGATCTCTCTCTTCCGGCCCTATCCCACTGCGAGTTGCTGGGATGCAGCTGGGAGGATGGGAAGTTGCTGGATGACATGCAGTCATTTCTTTTTTAAAGGCAATGTTCAAATACAGTATATTTGAATATGTTAAAATACTTTATTAGCCCCACAAAGTGAGACAATTAATCCAAGTTATTTTATACTTTATCTATTTTTGGGATAAGTTGAACCAAGCATCCAGTCATCTAATGAACATCTTCGCACGCCGGTGCACACCCTGTGTGCCAGGGTCCTTTTGGGGGATGCACCATGATGCACCCAGACTGTGCTGTAAATATCCTGAACAAAGTAAATTCGCCCAACAACATAAAATCTACAGTAGTCATTTTCGATCCCGATTTTTCATCCAGTTTTTCCATATTTCCCATATTCTTCCAAAATTGTCCCATGTTTCCAATGGCAAAAACAAGCAACATCCAGTAATTCAAGAGTTGGCCATTGAAAGGGCCCATTGTTTGCTGATTTACCTACCAAAAATGGTGATTTTCCATAGCAAACTGTCACCAACTCCAGGTGACTACGGCTTGATGCTGTCCGCCATGCTGGTGCAAGCCGAGTTGATCAAAGAAAGCCAGCAGCCCTTGCCATGTCTTTGCGGCTGTGTCAAAACCCCCTGTTGATTATAGAGGATGACTTATCATCATTCATGAATCCCCATACTATGCCCATTTTTTTTGATCACGCCGATAATAATCACCACACTTGTTATAATTATAGGGGACTACGGTCATTTAATGGGGATGTTACCACTCAAACTATAGGGGATGCAAGTGGATTTTTTGCATGATATAGCTGATAACTAGCCACGAAAATTAAGGGGAGATTAGCATCATCCTTAAGCTGGGAATCCAGTTCTTATCCAGCCAGGGGGCTACTATAAATCATTCCAAGTAGGGTTATAGCCAACCATACACCAGAAAATGGGATGGTGATTCTTGTGGATGCCGAATGACTGGGTTGTTCTGGAAGTTGTTTTGATCAAATGGTGTTTTTTTTTGGCTGTGGCCAGCATATTCTTGCAGAGTAGTCAAGATGATTCCACATGAATAGGAGAACGCCCAGTTTCTCATAGTGGGATTTCTAGAATGCCATATGATCAATGGGAATTCCAGGATCCTAAAATGGAGGTACTGTACCATATAAGGCCATATTTTGGGGGTATATCCCCTTACATAGGCCTTATACAGGCTTTATATATGGTAGGTACCTCCAATTTAGGTTCCTGAGATGGCCATTGATATGAGTTTGAGTGATTGTGAAACATCGCCACAGCCCAAGGGGTGATTTCATAACACCCAGATTCAGCCCGACGTAAGGAGTCCTTAAAATGTTGGTTGAACCTCCGGTCGAACATTCAGGGATGAAATCTTGGAACAACTTACAACTACAGCATCAGATGAAGATTGCAGGGATGAAGATTTGCATGGTGAAATTCCATGAAATTTCTAATGCACAGTCAACTTCTGCCAGGGAATACTTCGCATTTCTCCTGAGTGGAGTGATGTTTGGCTTGTCGATGGTGCCAACCATGGTGGCAGCCAGGGGGCCCAGTAGAGCCAGAGCTGCGGGTGAAGTTTGTGATCTGTGATGATCCGTGTCTAAGCATCAAAATGAAGTCAACCAGGGAACAACATATCCAAAACAATCCGAATTTGTGGCTTTATTTTAGTATCATAATGGTATCACATTTTGCCAATGGAACTTAAGTGTTCCGAGGACGAAGGAATGGGGCCACCGGAGACAGCGAAACATTGACTGAAGCTTCAGGTGTGGCTGGGTCGAAATGCAGGTGCGGATGCTTGGTGGGTCGCCCGTTTTTGGCAATGCAGTCCATTTGTCTCCTTGGGGGCAGACTTGATGTGTGATCCACATGCTATTGGTGAACATCTGAACAGATTTCGAAAGATTCTAAATTTCAACAAGTTCATAAAGTTCGAACACTCTGTCAAAGCAGCTGGCAACCCTGGATTCGCCTCATGGATATGTCCGACTGAAGAATTAAGGCCAGCCTGCCAGCCTTGATTTCGCACATGGTTAGTACGCCAAGAATGTCAACCCCGGATTGATAAACCCATCCAGGGGGTTACCCATCCAGGACATTCAGATTCATTCAACTTGGTCAGCGACGGAGTCACTGAGGCAACGCCAACTACTTGTACAACATGACCCTGGTGGTCAATGTGACTCGGCCACGTCGGCCACGCTGATGACTTGTACATGACCATCCCCGAGATGGTGGTGTCAATGTGACTTGCATCAGCTAATAGTTCATCAGAACAATCCGAAGCCAACATGTGTGTATTGTAATATGGCTATGGGTCAATACCTATAGATACCATTTTTAGTGGGATGAACATCCATTTACCAGCTATTTTGGGGTTCACCAGGGGTACAGGGTTTTGACTCATAGCCATATGATGAATTCACATCTCAGTGAGTCCGCATGTTAATGTTTAAAAAACACATTGTCAAACATGTTACTGAGTGTGACGATCACTCGAACTGGGGTAAGTTGGATGCCGAAGCTAAGCTGAACCTCTGTATCGCGTGGGAAGTGAACCGGCCGGGTTGAGTGCACCCAGTTTCATTCTGGCACCTACGGCTCAAGATGTTGTGCCAAGAATTCCATGCAAATTCTTGCTGCTCCTTCCTGCCTGCTTCCAGTAAATATATTGTTCCCGAGTGTCTGGGGAAACCCTGTTACTCCCTGAACTCTAAGTGGGGGACTTAAAAAATCTGCCGCAGAAAACTTTCGGAAAGGGCTTCCTGAAACTCGTCAGTGCGGAAGGACATGTCCTGACCAACCTCATGGACACTTTGCAAGCTGCAGGGGTGCAAGACGGAGAGCACCTAACGGCAGTAGCACAACAAGCGAAAGTGGCCGCATCTGACTGCGCATTTGTTTTATGTTGTGGAGGCAACCAACCAGTCGCCTGGGGCCATCCAGACATGGGTGGTAACAGTTCTGCAGTGCAAGATCAGCTCAGGAATATGCAACAAATTCAGAGCACAAGTGGTGCATTTGCATCTTGGCTGACGGTTCAGTGGTTGCCTGGGGCCATCCAGACTATGGCGGTGACTGCTCCGCAGTTCAAGATCAGCCCAGGAACGTACAACAAATTCAGGCCACTGAAAGTGCATTTACTGCGATCCTGTCTGCTCACTTGTCGCCTGGGGTAATGCAGACTGTGGAGGTGACTAGCTCAGGAATGTGCAGCAGATTCAGGCCACAGTAGCGGCCTTTGCTGCGATCTTGGCAGATGGGTCAGTGGTTGCTTGGGGCGATCGACGCAGAGGTGGCGACTGCTCCAGAGTTGTAGATGCTTGTGTTCAGTATGGTTTCCACTGTGGCAGAGGACAGTGACGACTTTCATTAAAAACACCGTGCAGTGCACCGGCGGTGAACTAGTTTTGAGGGATATGATATTATGATGATATGTAAATGTTCCGTAAATTGTTGTCAGTCAATGATTATATCCTATCTCATATCATATATGATAATTATATATAAATGATTATATATATGTATATAATTATAATACAATTATGTATATAAACATTTATATATAATTATCATATATATATATAATTATCATATATATATAATTATATATATAATCATATATTCATTTATTACATATATATATATAAATATCATACATACATACATACATACATACATACATACATACATACATACATACATACATACATACATACATACATACATACATACATACATACATACAATGATTGTAAATTGTTGTCAGTCAATGATTATATCCTATCTCATATATGATAATTATATATACATGATTATATATATAATCATATATATGTATATAATTATTTATATGTATATAATTATTTATATGTATATAATTATATATATATAATCATTTATATAAAATTATCATATATATATAATTATATATATATAATAATATATTATTTTATCATATATATATATATTAATATATCATATATATATATATATTCTTGTTACTTGTTTTTTGGATAGTGATGGACAAATATATCTTTGAATCCAGACACATCCAGCAGTTTTGGAGATCGCATTGCCGGGGTCCACCGGGTCCACCGGGTCCACCGGCTCCGCGACTGAGGTCTTTGGCTCTTTGACTCTATCACAGTGGGCCGGAGCCTCGTTGGGATGGTAGCCTAGGTGACTTTAATATACCTTAATAGCCTATCCTCATAGCCTTAATATACCTGAATATACCTGAATATACCTTAATATACCTTAATATACCTTAATATACCTTAATAGATCTTAATAGCATTTCATAGCCTATCCTCATCTCACTTCAAGTTCCGGATCCGGTTGATGATGGTTGATGGGTTGGAAAAGTGCACTGATGTCTTGGATCGGCAACCTGCAGTTAGCTCCCCTGGAGCTGCCCGATGAGAGTTTCCGTGTTCTCAGTTCACGTACCATTTGTTTGAAATCATTTTATTGCTAGGGAAAATGAATGAACATGATAAACCACAGGATTTGGATGGATTTTTGGGGTGCCCTATTTTCAGAGAAACCCAGTGGTTTTTCGATTGTTTACAGCAGATTTCTGGGCAAAGGCGAAAGCCACCAGTTCAGGTCAGGGCGGGCATGCGGCTGCGAAAGCGACAGCATCAGCTCAGCTACCTGAGTTTGCTTCAGACATTTTTTCATTATCCCAACGAAAAACCCACATAAATCCACCTTTTGTAGTATCTATGGGGAACATGTTTTTTTTTGGTTGTGCGCTGCAAATTCAAGGTTACTTCCGGAAGGTGGTCCTGGACATTGTCGACGAGGTGCTGCTGGAATCAATGGTTTGGTTGGTTTAAGGATAAATTTAGAGGAAACTGTGACTTTTACCATCAAATACAGAGATTTCCCTGTTCCGATTTTCCCTTAAACCAATCCAGAATCAATGGCCAAGAAAAATCAGGGTTCAAGTTCGAGGTAGTACATTTTGGCTTGAGCAATGCTGGGGTTCAAGGAGCATTAGGACTGAAGCCAACACACATGTGGATTTCAGCCAATAGACTTTGAGCCAAGAAAATAGGGTCCACTGAAGTCCACCAATTGAGTTGAGCTGTTGGGAGTTGAGGCATCAGGGAGTTGGATGACCTGGTGGAAAGTGCATCACACCAGGCATCTTTTGATATTTTTTGAGCATTGATTTGTCTCGTTGTATTTTGAATTTGGGGGCTGCAAGTTCCTGCTCCGCTGTCCCAGCACCCAGTGGGGGTCATTTTCGCTTGTCAGGTCGTGGCGGATCCCAAGGCTGCCAAGGTCTGGGGGGCAGGGGAAAAACTAAGGACTTCACTTTGACAAGCCCTAAAAAGCCCAGGACAATCAGCTCGAACATGACTTTGCGCATGTCAGATATGCTACCAATAAGCACTCGAAAAATGGCCAGCACAGTCTGTCGGCCACTGTTTTGGCCTGGCCAGGCCCGCTTTTTTCTCCTAGTGCCAGTGAAAAATACACAGAACCACAATCAGGCATCACAAGAGTAGCACCAGAAATCACAATCAGACACCACAAAAGTAGTACCAGAAAGAGGCAAAACGAACTTGTCATTTTCTGAAGCATCCTTTGATTGGATCTCAACATGCTGTATTTTGAGGTACTTTTGAGATACTCATTTTATGCCGCTAGCAACATGGACCGGTTCAAGACTTCACCAACAAATCGCGGGATACAGGGGGATACATTGATGTGGTTGTTGGCTTCAAATATGTTTCAAACGTCTTCTAATCACCAACCAGTCGTATTTTGTCTATCCCTTTTTGTCTTAGATAGTAAATCTGTCTTGTTGCTACCACCCATTTTTGCTGGTGACATCACACAAAAGCCTTGTGATTTCTCCGGTTTTTGTGGCTTAAAATCCTCCATTTTTTGACTCAAAATCTCCATCCTGTGATAGTGTCGAAGCTTCCCAGGAGAAAGCCTTGGGCGCAGATGCCGCGGTGCGGTAAGGGAGCAAAAAAGTCGCTACCAGGGCCAGGGGAGCAAAAAGTGGCCTGCAGAACTTGAAGATTGGTGGATCACTTGACGATACTTATGAAATCTTATGAATATAACGGCAGTAATTTTGGACCACAGGAAAGCTACTGTATTGGGATATATTAGGATGATTTTATGATGTTATCTGATCACCCCAAGCTTGGTTGGTTTCGATGTGGGACGCCAGATCTTTCACGATGGTGGCACAAAAAGAACGTCACACAGCACCAAAGGAACTAACTGGGATGATGTGGGATGGGTGGACCATCCACCAGATTATTTATGTATTGATGATGATGATGATGATGATGATGATGATGATGATGATGATGATGATGATATATGATATATTATATATGATGATTATATATTATTGTGTGATATGTATAATATATACTATATTACATTATATTATATTACATTATATTATATTATATTACATTATGTTATATATATTATATGATATCATATTATATTATATCATATTATATTACATTATGTTATATATTTATATTATATGATATCATATTACATCATATTATATCATATTATATTACATTATGTTATATATTTATATTATATGATATCATATTACATCATATTATATCATATTATAGCATATTATATCATATTACATCACATTATATTATATTTTGTTTTTTAAATTAAATTAAATTAAATTAAATTATATTATATTATATTATATAATATCTACATTTTGGCTGTTTAGATTTTCATTCATATCCCTTTGGCCCATTTTTGAGCAGCAGAATCACCAGCCTCTTGGGCCGGTCGCCCTCAGGAAACTTCCCCTGCTCTTGTTGGTACATCTGAAACGCTTCGGATTCGAGGCTGTCTTTTCAGTCTTTTCAGGACCTCAGGATGGCAACTCAAGCAGATGGACCTAGACATTGCAACTTTCATTTCTAATTTTATCATGGATTATATACTGTATCAGTGGAGTAGCACTTAAAAGCAGGAATCGATCTCAACAAGGACATGTCTGGAACCCTGAACCCGCCTGAGATTCAAGAAAATTTCAGGGTCGGAAGCCTGAACCATGTTTTTGCTTTGTCCAAAATTGGGTACAGTACCGGGGTACCCCTGGGTCGTCCAATGGTTTAAAATCTCGATTTCCCTATCTGAATGTCTGAATGATCATGAATGGCGGCATGGCCATAATTTCCCATCATTTTCCCAACTAAAATTCTGCCATGATTCTGAGGATTTCACAGTTCAGCCATAAAGCATGGCTGCTTCCTACCTTCCAGAACTTCCCCACGACAAAACATCCTCCAAGTTTTGGATCAAACCCATGTGCTAAGCCAGTTCCCTGAGACATCGTAGGCTTCTGGGGCTTGGACGGCTCCCAGCTGGAAGATTGAGGGTGAGGCCTGGTGGGAACGGCCAAAAAAAACGTTGGGAAAATCCATGAAAGATTGTTAATTGCTGGTTAATTGTTGGTGAATTAATTGGTGAATTAATTGGTTTTTCGAAATGGGCTAAAATTCCAAACTTTTAGTTACTTAATTCTTGGTGAATTCCTATTTATATATTTGCGCTTCGCAGATCGATGGCTCACTTCACCCCGGGATGGCTGGAGAATCCCCATGTGCCGTCCACGTGCCGTCGTGGCTGCCACACTCGTAAATGTCTCCCAGGGAGGGATCATCTAGAGATCGATTTATCCATCTAGATCCATCTAGTATATGTATATATACACATAATATATTATAACATCATAATGTCATATTATATGTATATATATATATGTATATAGATAGATAGATAGATAGATAGCACCTTTTGTCGACCAAATAGAGATGGCAAAACAATATACAGTGCATACGACATGTCGCTCGTTCTGAGCAATTTCTTTTGGTTTCTCTCCACCTTTGCAGCGCTTGCTTTGCTTACCAATTGATCCATGGAACCAGATTTGACATGACAGTGCCATATATTCCAGTATAACCCATTATATCCATATCATGTCCCCATCATTTATGGTGGGCGTTTCACGATATCTCTTTTTTAAATCACGATTTTGAGACATACTCAAATATCATAGTGTTGGATTTGTATATACCATGGAAATCACATAAATCCCATATGTATTGAAAATCACGTAAAATTGACTTCCATGAAATCACACAAAATCGCATTTGAATTCCATGAACATCATATAAAATCCCATTTGAATCCTAGAAAGTCGCATAAATTTCTGTTTGAATCCCATTTTAGGTCACATCAGAATCCACCATGTATGGAGGGTTCTCCAGGTGTGGACTCCCCCGCAGCTGGACCTGGGAAACTTTGTCTCCAAGACGTGCCCTGGGTGCTGAAATCCCCCAGCTATGGGATGGGTCAAAACCTATAAATATTTGGGGAATCAACGTCCATAACTTGGGGGAATTACCCTCTGGTGAACTAACAAAAAGCTATGGAAAATCACCATTTTTAATAGGAAAATCCGCTATTTCTATGGCCATTTTCAATTGCTATGTTAGTTCACCAGAGGGTACCATATATGATGTCCCGTTTGAGTGGCAGGGTTGATTTACCCCTTCGAAGTGGATAAGATTTCCGTAGCTATGTTAATTTAATTTGAGTCACCAACATGTTCAACCGAAACAAGGCGTGGTGGTTCAACCCCCAAACAACTGCAAGTTCACCCACCAATATGTGGATGCTACGCAAAAAAAAGGGATTCAGTCAAACAATGCAGCGCAGTGAAGAACCCATTCTGGCAACTTGAGTAGACCATTCCATGTTACCCAAGAACTATGCAGTGCTGCAGTGGATTCATAGCAGGTAACCAAACGTGGCTTGCTGGGCCCACCTTTAGTTCGAACTTATAGATGAATTTCCCAGATATAAACCCCTATCCTCCATGGCTTCGGGCATTTCCCAGCCATGACATGACACTGGAGGGTTCAGTGGGGACCAGGTCACCCCAACGAGCTTCTTTGCAGTACGTCCGAAAAGCTCAGTTCGGGGACAGAACTCCGGACTCAACGAATTAGGGATATACCCCGTTCAACCATGGTCTACTTACTAGGGGATGATATCAGATATTTGGGACATGTTGGGCCCATTTTAGATGGATGATCGATATTTGAGGGGACGGGATATATCATTGAGATCATTGAGCCATCTCCACCAACCATCCAAAAGTGATGTTCAAAATCCCCAGAACAGGAGATTTACCAAAACTAACCAATGCAATGTGAATATGTTTGTGGGCCAAACCCCCATTGTTAAGGATTTTTCATCGTTTTGAAGCTGAACCTTGAAATGTGAAATGCTATCTGGTAATCAGGTAATCAAACATGGAGGAAGCTGGCGCATCCTCCATTTAGTTGGATCATTTTCCCATCTATCAATGTAGTTTCAGCATTTTCCAATTAACACCCGAAAAATAGATGTGTATAGATGATTTCCCATGAAGTTTCCCGTTTACCCTCTGATACAACTAACAGTTCGCCATGGAAATCACTGTTTTTTATAGGTAAGATCATGGTCCATAGCTATCCGAGGACCTCTTTGCTGCTGTGGATCACGCAGGCGCTGACGGCCCAGAGTTTTTTTGGCCCTGTGAGGTTGAGTGAAACGACGTAAAAATAAGAGCATTTGGTGGATATCATTTATAATCATTTATAATCTATAGTAACAATAGTATAATCATGATGATAATCATTACAATATATTATAATCATTTATAATCTATATATAGTATGTTGCAATGTGTTAGGTATTACTATATTGGTATTATACGACCGATATATACCTATTCTTACAATTATAATCTATAGTATGTCTGCAATGTGTCAGGTATTACCAAATGTTAGTATATATTAAGTATTGTATACTGATTACACAGACATGATACTCACCTTTTGGTCATATACCCTCCCACAGATTGTTGGTTTCGCCAGGTGTCTCACCCTTCAGTGGGCACTACACTGCCTCCTGTCGTCGAGCCGATGGGCGTCTCGGCTAAAATCCAGTCATGGCGAATTTTAATAGGAGAATGGTGAATTCACCAATGAGTTTTAGAGGTCTCCTACAGGTATACCGGTATACCCCCATTTTCAGACTGCGAACCAGATATTTCATGGTGAAATCCATGGATTCCGATCGACTTGTCAGAAAATTGGGTTGATTTTATGTGATTTTCCCGTCCTTTTCAGAAACAGTCGTCAGACCTGAGTATCAGGTTGATTTCAGGGAAACTTTACAGAAGACTATGGTGTTATATGGTGTTACTGTCCTGTGAGCGTTCCCATTCCCTTGCACCAAGGCTGGTATATTACACATATAGCGGAATTTCACCCAGAATACGCTCAAGAAAACTGAGCAATCGTGATGGGGCTCAGCCTCAGGTGGTGGCGGCTTGATGACTCCCGGGCCGAATACCTTGGCCGGGCTGGGTCCGAGGCGGCCTCGGTTTTCTGGGAGACCGTGAGACCCAAGGAGACCCAAGTCTTTCTGGTGAAACAAACGATTCCAGACACTCAGTCTTGCTCTCTGTTGGTTTCACTGAATTACAAATTTCTACCTTGGACGGTTTTTCGCAGACGGATCTCGGGTATATGGATCATCCGGAGCAGTTTTTGAGGGATATCTGTCGACATGGCCACAGTGGAAATGTTTGGTCTCGAGGCCACTGAACGAAAGGTCATTGGCCCTTGGTGAGAGCCTCAGTTGCCTCAGTTGCCGAGTAGGACGGTTAAATCTGCGGGAAAACGGCTTTTTTGGATCTATAAATTGTAAAGAAACCGTGGATTCCCATAGAGTTTCCCTTAAATGGTCCAGCTCCCATCGGGTCTCAGTGCAGCCCTCAGGAACTACCTGCTGTTGTTTCAGAGGTGCTCAGAACCTTCCAATTTCCCGGGGGTGTAATGGCGGATTGACAGCAGTGCAACTGAGTCCTGACTAAATGAAGAGATCCAGCAGATACTCTCGGTAGTCAAACATGGCAATGGGAAAATCTATGAATCAATGGGAATTTCAGGATCCTAAATTGGAGGTACTGTACCATATAAGGCCATATTTTGGGGGTATATCTCCTTACATAGCCCTTACATAGCCCTTACATAGCCCTTATATATGGTAGGTACCTCCAATTTAGGTTCCTAAAATGGCCATTGAATGAAATGGACTTTAAAATGGGAAAATCCGGTCACGGCCTCGCGTGCGCACGCGCATGTCGGTCTCGCGTGCGCACGCGCATGCTGGTCTCGCACGCGCACGCGCACTAATTGCGCGCTTATTTTTTCTCGCGCATGTCAACGAAAATGACGTCTCGGCTGCGGCTCGCCTGCGCACGCTGTGCGGCTCGCCTGCGCACGCTGTTGCTGGTCTGGGACCTTGCAGATGTAAGGCTCCCTTCTCCTCTGAAATAGAGGCAGTAGCTCAGTTTGACGGCTCCCTTCTCCTCTAAAATGGAGGCGCAACGACAAAGAGCCTCTGTTCTCCTCTAAAATAGAGGCATTAAGAGGCAGCACTCCT